AGTCGAGGACGGCCCAAAGCCTTGGGATCCTGCACCTGCGTGGGAGACCTAGAAGAAGCTCCTGGCTTCGGATTGGCTCAGCTCCGGCCATTGCGGCCACTTGGGGAGTGAATCATCGGATGGAAGATCTTCCTCTCTGTCTCTCCTCTCTATATATCTTTGGCTTTGTAATAAAAATAAATTAATTAAAGATACCACACCCCCCCCAGGGCCACACCTGAGCAGCAGTCCTCCTCCCCGCCCCATGGCTCGTAGGGGTAACCTCCTTCCTGCCTTGCGTGTGCATTGCACGCCTGAAAATGCGCAAGTTACCCCATCGGGAACCTTATTCTAAAATCATCGTGGGATCCAGTTCTTCTTAGCCGTTTGTCCTCAGAACTGCCTCATTCCTCCTCACACTGCTCAGTGTGGCATTGTGAGACCATGCTGCGGGTCACAGCCAAAGTCCATCTCCAGGCTTCAGTGCCCTTGGCCAGCTCTCTCTCACCCCTGACCTTGGCGTTGCAGTTGCACAAGTCCAACGGAGCCGGTACTGAGTGCTCCAGGCTCATCTCGCCCTACTGGGAGAGCTCACTTCCCACTCAGCTGTCACAGTGCTAGCTCACACTTGCAGGCCTTGCCTGGCTCGGGCTGGAAGCTTACCTGGCAGGCACGTGTGACCTTGCCTGGCTGGGCTACCCTCAGCTGATAGGAGCCCCACCTGTGTTTGGTCCTTGCCATCTCCCCATGTGTGGGGCAGTTTGGGGGGCACTTCCGCCCTCTCTAGATTAAAAGTGTCTCCCAGGAGGGTCTGCACAGGTTCCCCGTGGGACCTCGGACACCATCATTCGGCTAATATTTACTGAAATGCAAAAAAAAGCAGAAGGCAGCTAAGAATGGAAGGGCCATAGAGGAATCAGCTTCCTGGGTGTTCGTGAAAAACGGGCAATGCGGAGCTAAACCGAAAAGGACCCACTGGACTGGGATACGCTGCACAAGTGGACTTAAAGTGTTCTAAGAACTTAGCGTGGGACACACCAGAAATAGCGCCCTGTGAGGAGGGCAGCCCCTGCCCCTCAGTGTTATAGGGATGACTGGATAACAGATAATGTTGGTTTATAGCTGCTCGCACACGAGTCAATTCGGGAGACAGATTGTCACATGGGAAGATCACCATAAAGGAAAGAAACAAGCTGTCATTGGCATCCTTGATCAAACTAGTGAAAATGGAAAACCTGATCCTGGCCCGCCTGCGAGGATACCAATTTTCAGAATTCAGTCATACGCCTGCACACAAAATATAAGGAACTGCATGTAGAAGATTCCGTATGCTTTGACCTTGTCATTCCACTCTGGGGAACTGTGAGGCGTTAAAGTCCTGAAGAGGAAAAAAGAAGCACCAGTGCTAGACATGGTGGAGAAGCAGTCTGGAAACAACACCAGATGGTTGTCAGAGCTTCAGGAGGCTGCTCTGTGGTGCACGCCAGTACCTAGAGATGCGTCAGCAAGGAAGTCGTAGTGACCACAGGACAAAGGGCTGGCGTGCACTCCTGACCGGCACACACTCCCTAACTGCTACCTTCATGCTGGTTTCTTTCCTGTGCATTAGCCATGTGCCAGGGCTGCGTGATGCTGTGGACCCCAGGAGAACAAGCTGGGCAGAGGCCTGCCTACGGAGCCAGCCCCCAGGCCACAGGGACGCCATTCTTCCATGCTGTCTGCTGTCCTATCACAAGGAAACACAAAGAGTCTGGAGTCTCAGTTGCAGGTGCACGGCTGCCGGCGCGGAGGATGGCGGGAGTGGCCCCGCTACATTGGCAGAACTCCTTGGTCTGCAGAGGAAGGAGTTCCTGGAGACACCCGCGCTGCCTCACCTCGTCTCGGATGGATCTGAGGACCTAAGCGCTTTGGTGGTTTAGGAGGAGCTTGGCAGAACCATTTACAACAACAGGAACAAAACAAGTAGGAGACATGCGGGTGGGGACCTTACAGAGACACCAGGAAAGCTGCAGCAGTAGAGTGGTGGACCTCAGAGACCTCAGAGAGCAGATGGGGCAAGAACTAATCCTCCAGCTGTGGTGCTGGCATCCCATAGGGGTACCAGTGCTAGTTCCATATGCTCCACTTCCCATCCAGCTCCCTGCTTACGCCAAGGAAAGCAGTGGAGGATACCCCAAAGCCTTGGGACCCTGGACTCACCTGGGAAACCAGCTCCTGGCTTTGGACTGGCCCAGCCCCAGCTGTTGTGACCATCTGAGAGTGAAGCAGTACAAGGAAGATTCTCTCTCTCTCTTTCTCTCTTTCTCTCTGTCTTTCCCTCTCTGTCTGCAACTTTGACTTTCAAGTAAAATAAATCAATCTTCAAAGAATGAAGATTGCTTGATTGGAAAGGCAGAGTTACAAAGAGAGGGAGAAGCAGTGATTTTCCACCCACTGGCTCACTGTCCAAATGGCTGTAAGAGCAGAACTAGGCCAGGCCGAAGCCAGGAGCCCAAGATTCCATCCGGGTCTCCCACGTGAGTGGCAGAGGACATTTTCTGCCTTCCCAGGTGCATTTGGCAGGGGGCTGAATCGGAGCGGAGCAGCTAGGACTCATGGGATGGTGGTGTCACCGGCACTGGCCTAGCCTCTTGTGCCACAATGCCATCCCACCATCGTTTTTTCTAACATGCAGTCCATGTTCGGATTTTTTCTCACCGTCCCAGTGGGATGTCTCTTGTGAGGTTCACACAAGTGCCATGTCTCTTCCATCTCCTTTCATCTGAAACAATCGCTTGACTTTTCCTAGCTTCACCTGTTGCAGTTTGGAGATCCCCCAGGCCAGCTGTTTGATTCGATGTCCCACAGCCTGAATGTGTCTAATGCTTCACTCATTCCTGGCCTCGTGGTGGGCAGTTTTGGCCTGAGGACTGCACAGGTGTATTGCCTTGTGTGGCAGGGCCCTCACTGCTGATGCTAACCTGGCCATCTTGTCCACTGGCATCTGCCGGGTCACTCCACTGCAGTCCTCGGCTCTACCAGCTGAGCTACCGAAGGGTGCGTGGGTCACTCCACTGCAAAAGGCCTTTCCCACTGGTGTCCAGTAGGTCAACTGAAGAATTTATTCCTTAAGAAGCAAAACCTGAAAGGTAGCCAGGAGCTAATCAGTAACAGGATACGCAAACTGTGGTATCTTCACACAGTTGAATATCGTACAGCGTGAGAAAAAAAAGGAGTTCAACCACCTGCAACAGAACCCACTTGTGAGGATGAAGCTCACAGACTGATACTGAGCCAGACACACGGGACCTGGTACCCATGACATCAAGGAACCGGCAAAAACACACCACATCATTGCAGTGGGAGAAGTGGCCACACAGGATCCCAATTCAAACACACCAAGGACAACAAACAGGGAAGAGAGATTTGGTGACTGTGGGAAGAAGCTCATATAGACCAATGACCAAAACACTGGAACGTTCAACAGTTTTAAGGCACTGCAAGTCAGAACAGGTAAGATAATAAAGGATTGACCAGAGTCACAAACTGAAGGAACACCATCGTCTAATAAGCCTGTGGCAAATGTGTAACATCTCTAACAGTAGAAGGAACAGTATACCATTTTACCGCTCGGAGTCATGCCAACAGACTGATGTCATGTCAAGTTCCAGTAATGGCTAGGGAACGACATCATGGAAGATCTGTCTCTCCCTAACTCCGATTTCAAGTAAAATGAATAAATCTTTAAAACAAAAGCATCTGTGAAAACCATTTTAATGGCTACACTATTCCGTGCAATGGCATACTGTTGCAGGAAATTATACTCAGCTTAAGTGTGTAAGGTGTATATGACACTTATGTGAGTTTCATGTTGTGGACTTGGCTCCCGTGAGGTATATGCCAATATTCCCAAATCTGAAACCCCTCCTGGCCCCAGGCATCTCAGAAGAGGGCTACTCAGCCTAGACTCGGGACGTTCAGGCCTAAGCAGCAGCCAGGGCTCGTGTTTGGGAGAGCATCATTCCCCCTTGTCCTCGGCTCCCTCTCTCACTTCCCTCTGTGAAACTTGATGGGGATGTTTTCACGTTCTTGTTCCATTTGGTGACATGTCATCCGTATGTCCCACCCAGTACCGCCGACTGCCCAGGACACTGCTGCCTGGATGTATCTTGCCTTGTCTGCTGCTGGACCTTTGGGTCTTTCCTTGTTTCACAGTTATCACCCTCAATGTATGTGTCTTGGTGTGCTGGACCCCTCTGCTCAGACCTGAAGACGGATGGCATCCTCTTGCCAGTCAAGGGGGGGGGGGCTGCTCCTTGGAACCAGGATGGGCTGGGTGTTGGCACCCACAGTGGGTTCTCCTGTCTTCGGCTCACCTCTGCCCCTTTTCACTGGGCTGTGGGATCCTGCATACATGGGCTGAAGTCACGCAGGGGCAACTTTGAAACAAAACACTCACACTCTCAGTCCTGGGCGATGCACATTCGGCTTGTGCGGGCAGAACCTGCCTGGGGACCGTTCAGAACATGAGCCACTCCCAGACCTAACGGTCTAGGACCCCTTGGTTCACATCCCTTCTGCCCATCAGCAGTCACCAGGATGCTAACTGCGCTGGGCCAAGGAGACCTGGCCTGCCCTCAGCCCCCACCTGAGCCACGGGGAGCCACGGGGAGCCACGGAGAGCCACGAGGAGCCACAGTACCTGGTGGCGGAAAGGCCTTCCTTCTTGCTTGTTCTTGAAAGATTATTCCAGGACAGCTGACTCGGATATATGTTAAACCTTCATTTCCCCCAAATTACTACATTGACTCCATACGTATTTCTGTTTGCGTATATGGGTATTTTTCTTTCTTATTATTTATAAGATTATTACACTCTGTCAATGTGGAGGAAAAAAAAAAAAACCCTGGAAATTCCAGAAAGCACACGCCTCCAAACTTTATTGGCTTGTGTTGTCTGTAGCCAGCCGGGAGGGAGCTTGGAATACGCCAGCCTTATGCTACTCGTCCCCACACCCTGCACTCCCCACACCCCCTCTGCAGCCGCAGGGTACCCCCCCTACACCCCCGGCCTGAGTGATCCTTCTTGTACCCAGACTGGCAAGGCATGGCTCAGAGGCCGTGGAGTCGCTGACGTGGTGCTGGCTACGAGGCGAGCCATGGCCGCCACTGGTGGACGTTCCCACCCACGCGCGCTCGCGGTCCCCGTCCCGAATTTGGCCCTGGGCGCTCCGGTCAGCGAGGTTGGCTGGTGCTGGTCTGAAAGCCACATCCTGCCACGACCGCGCCGACCCAGGGTTGTGAAAGTTGCCCCCAAGGGGAAGGAAACCGCTTTGGGCGCTGAGCGCGCAGACGGCGCCGGGGGCTGCGGCCACGCGGACCCGCTGTTGGCCGAGCGGGGGGGCCTTGGCAGGGGGCAGCGGTGAAGAGGGGCGCCCTGTGCGGGATGGACAGGCCAAGAGGCAGAGGGGAAAGGCCCCGGGCGGAGGGAGGGCGGACGGCCATGGGGGCGTCACCGCAGAGGGGCCAAGGGCGGCCTCGTGGCGGGGCGCGCGGCAGGGCTGCGGTGAAGAGGTGGGAGGGGGGGACTGGGCGCCCCTCACCCTGAGCGCGGGGTGACGGGGGCAGGGGCCGAGCTGTGCTCGCCTCTCGGATGCCCCGGCAAGGGAGCCGGCCCGGGGGACCCCCGCGGGGCTCGGATGGAGGGGGCGGTTCCCCCTCCACCGTGCCGGATGGAGCCTGGGAAAGGACGAGCTGGATTGCTGTGGTGCTTTGGTGTGGGAGGACAAAAGCCAGCAGGGGAGGAGATCAAACGCCATTAAAGCGCCAGGGGGAAGCCGCGGCGGGCGGGCAGGATCTGTGTTCCCAGAGAACCCCGGGGCCAGCCCCCATCCAGCCCACTCCACCTGGCTGGGCGTGGGAAGAGGCGGGCGCCGTCCGGAATCCACTGGGATTCCCACCCCCATCCTCACCCCAGTCCTGCACACCCCCTCTTCCTGCATTTCGTAGGTAAGAGTGACGGTCCCACCTCTCGCTCCATCCCCTGATAGAGTTTGCCTAACTTCTTGTCAGGTCACAGGACAACCGGTTTCTGCAGCGCCTAGGGTTAGGCCGAGAAGAGGGCGTGTGGAAACGCTTGGGAGTCCGGTGCAGCAGCCACGTGGCGTGGGGCTGTGTGTTTGTGCGCCTTGGGCTCACGCACGGAATGGGATGGAGGCTGCTGGGAGAACAGAGGGGAGCCCCTGGATGGCAAGGATGCTTCCCGCAGCGCCCCAGCCCAGACTGAGTGCGCACAGCAAGGGGGTGATGGAGGGCGGGGTCCCGCGTCCCCTCCAGCTAGCCCCCCTCCGCAGGGCGGCCTGGCAGCTTCTGCTGACTCAGGGACATTTCCAGGCCTGGCCTCAGGGCCAACTGCCTCATTGAAAACAGCTGCTGCTCCTGGCGGGCGGCCCCGTGGGCGGCCCCTGGCTCTCGCCGGGATGACCCCTCGCCCTTGCCTGGGAGGGGGCCCTCAGCGGCTGGAGGCCACCGGGCCATGGGCGCCAGGTCCTGTGTTTTCAGCTGGCTCCCAGTCCCCCCCGCTCCGCAGGAACTACACCAGGTCCATGCTGTCTGCCTTCCTCCTGCCCCTACCCCCACGCCCGCCCAGCCCTGCAGTTCCCCCGCGTTGGTGCACCCTCCTGTCCTGGCCTCTGTTGGGGGAATGGTCGGCCATGCCTCTCACTTAGCAAATAGCTGCTGCTAGTCACTGCGTGCCAGGCCCCGGGCTGGAGCTAACTTTTCCTCTGCCCTTCCTCCAGCAGGGATGTCTTTGCTTGTCATGGAGGCAGCCATCCTGCCTGAGGTCAGACCTCTGGCTGCTGCTGCGGCTGGGCCGGGTCAGGGGAAGCTGCGCAGACAGCTGAGGCTCAGTCTAGAGAGAAAGCTGCCATGAGGCCTCTGCGTGACCCCAGGGGCAGGCAGGAAGTGCAAGAAGCCCTGGGGGAGGAAGAGCTGGGCAGCCGGGCAGGTCCAGTTGCTGGAAAGTTCCGTTACCTCGGTACACCGGTGTGGGCTTCTCAGGGAGTGCCCTGGGTGTCCAAGGGCCAAGATGTTAGGGCCACACACACAAAGTCCTGCTGCTTTCGGCGACGTTGGAGTCCCCACGTGCCAGCCGTGAGGATGCGGTCCGCCTGACTGCTGACTTCCGTCCGCCCCTGGTTCCTGGGGAACGGCACACAGGCAGAGGCCATGTCTGCCTCACCATTCTTAATTCCCCTGTGGTCCTTAGGATGAGGCTGCGGATCTGTCATCAGCTTAGGGAGATAGCCTGAAGGATGATGATGGGGCACAGCCTCCCCACACCTGCTCTGAGGTGATGCAGGGGTGGGGCAGGGCAGGTCTGGCAGGCCAGGGCATCCCCTCTCCAACCCACTCCAGCTTAGGAACCTCCTGAGCAGCAGGAAGGATGGGCTGTGGATGGGGACTGTGACAAAGGCTCTGGTCCTAGATCCCAGGCTGTGTACTGAGCTTGGTTCTTTTGGTTCCCACGGACAGGAACCAAGGACAGCAAGCCACGTGGCAGCCCTGGGCCCGCCCCCACTCCTGGCTCTCGGCCTGTCTAGTCACTGTCTTCCCAGTAGAGAAATGCAGCCAATGGCCAATGTGGAATTAGCCAGAGGCGTTCTCTGAGCTACCTGTTTGAGTACTTGCATGCCCAATAGATGGGAATAGACAAGAAGCAGAAAGAGCTCGGGGTGCCCTGGCAGACCAGGGACTGTGAGCTCCAGGACACCGTTCTGGAACGTTCGGTGTGGAGTAGAGCACTGTGCCAGGCCCTTTGCCATGAGGTCTGGGTCACAGCTGTGTTGCCCACACTGTTCTCAGCGCCCAGTCTCATTTTCAACATGATTTAAAAAAAAATTCCATCAGTTGTTTCGGTGTTGGTGTGGACAGAAGCGGAGATGGAGAACTCCAGTGGGGACGTTTGGCCCAGCAAGTAAGCAGCGCTTCAGACCTCCGGGATCCCGTATCACACAGCGCCCAGCTCTGCGTCCCAGCTCTGCTTCCCGCTCCAGCCTCCTGCTAGTGGGGCCCCTGGGAGGCAGCAGCTGATGCTTCAGGTAACTGGGTCCTTGCCACCCTCATGGGAGACCCCAGCTGAGTCCCCAGCTCCTGGCTTTGGCCCAGCACAGCCTTGGCTTCTGAAGGCATTGAGGGGGAGTTCTCTGTTCTTTGTGGAAAGAACCCATCTGCTAATCCACTCCCCAAATGCCCAGGCCTGGCCAGGGGCTAAAAGCAGGGACTGGGCACTCAATCTGGGCCACCCACATGGGTGTCAGGTATCCACCACGAGATGGACCATCACTGCTTCGCAGAGGGCAGACACCAAATTCAGGGGCAGAGCTGGGACTCAAATCCAGGCGCTGGATACAGGATGCACCTGCCTGAACCGCGCGGACGAACACCCCGCGCCTAGTAGGGATTGGTTGAATGAATGAGCCACTCCTAGCCAGGTCTCAGTGCACAGCTGTCTGCCCGGTGTCATATGTTCATTCATTCACTCAGCTCCTGTGTATTGAGCCAGCCCTTGAATGTATGACCCCGCGAGGCACTGGATGGTTGTTGCCCTTGTACTGGGGGAGGATGATGCTAAGGTGCCATAGGGGATCCTGCACCCCCTCAGGCAGGTGCTTGCACTCCCTGTACCTACACACCCACTATGCTCCGAGTGCAGCTCCTGGGGGAGGCCTGTCTAGGCTGCTGTAACAGATCCTGCAGATGGCACTTGTAAATAACACAGGCTATTTCTCATGGTTTGGGAGACTAGGATGATCAGGATGGAGGTGCCAGTGGACTCCATGCCTGGTGAGGGCTCCTGCCCATCGTCTCTCCCCCTGGTGACTCCCTGTCCTCGCTCTAGCCCCACTCCCACCCTTAGATGAATGTTGGAGGAGAGAAAACACCAAGTGCATTGCAGCAAGGAAGAAGCAGTTGAAGGGCAAGGCAGGGGTAGGGGATGCCATCGTGGTGGTCCTAGTGGGCCTGTTGTCCTGCCCAAGTACTGCCAGCAAAGGAAAGGACAGGGTCATAGCAGCCCTCCCACCAAGATGTTCTGAACACTCAGTGTCAAGGCTGCAGACCCTGCATGGTAAGAAAGTTGAGCCAGCAAATGAGACAGGGTGCAGAAAGGCTGGTTGGTGGTGCCCATGTCTAGGTTCGAGATTCATTTATTCACGCGGTATTTCTTCAGCAGCACCGTGTGCTAGGCAGAGTTGTAGGTCCTGGGGTTACCAGGGGTGCAGATCCAGGAGGTGTTGGAAGCTTGTGAACAAGAGGGGAGACAGAGACAAGAAGAAGCCGTGAGTGCCTGGGTTCTGCTCCGCACAGGGCAGATGACTTGTGTGGATCCAACGCTGGCCCAGGTTGCCTGCAGAGTATGGGTGAAACACGAGCTCTGGTCATCCAAGAACAATTCAAGCCAACAGGGCTCACGTTGCTGCCTTGGCGGTAGTTCTCCCAAGATTTCCGTGCTGGGAGCTTAGCGTTCCCTGTGATGTGACAGTGACGCCTTGAAGAGGTGGGACCGAGTGGGCAGGGCGGTCCTTGGATCACTGGCCTCATGCCTGACCCTGGGCTTGCTCGCCTCTCCGCGCTCCCACCACTGCTGTCTGCCCCGAGGTGACGCCACTGAAGGGAGCCTGTGCCGTGTTGTTTGGACTTGGAGCTTTCCAAACTGTGAGCTCAGGAAGACTGTTTCATTTGTAACATTAGCCTGTCCTTATAGTTAGAAAATCCTTGAAAGCAAAAGGAAAACTAAGCGAGGGGCACATTGAACCAGTGTTTCTGCCCCAGCACAGTCCAGGAGCTGGGGCAGAAAAGTGGCAGCTTTATGGGTCTAAGGAAGCAGAGCTCCAAGTTCAGGGTCATCCAAAAGAAGCAAAATCCAGAGGGAACACCCTAGAAGGGAAGGAGCCATTGCTCCTTTCCCACAGAATCCTCAGCCACTCCTGTGCATGTGTGGGTGAGGCTGCGGACAGCCCAGCAGGAAGCAGCGGCTGGCTATTGAGGAAGCAGATCTTGGGACTCCCACCCCACCCAAGGAGGCCTGGTCATCACCCATGGTTTTCTTTGGAAATGCCAGAAGGCCCTCACCTTATGATTAAATCCAGAACCCAGTGCCATACCCCCAAACTAAAGGCTTGAGCAAGCCACACCCTAGCATGGCTTCAAGCCAAGCTTGAACCACCAGTAACTGGAGCTCCCTGCCAGGAAGCTCAACATTCTTTATAGAAAGATAAAACATTCAGCTTCCTTTGGACGCCTCATTCGCAGTGTCCAGCTTGCAATGAGAAGGTCCAGACTTCTTAGGACATTATGGACAATGTCCATTATTTAATAAAAATTGCTAGACACTTGCAGATTTCCTGTAGGCATCCGGAAACAAATCTCTTTTCTTGATAAAATTAACCTGCCTCGGGTGTTTCAGTATAGTAAAAATAATAATAATAATAATAATAAGCAAGCTTATTATATAGAGAAAAAACTCACGTTTCCATATTTTCTGTGGACAGCAGATAAAAGCAGTCCTATTCAAGAGAAAAAAATACTCCATAGACACAGACTTATAAATAACCCAGATATCTTTTTAGAATTGGTTAACAAATGCTATGAAGAGAGTTACAAGCATGCAATAGGATAAGGAGGAACTTCTCCAGGGAGGCTATTCGAAGACGTGAATTTAATATGAAGTCACAGGAAATAATGAGGAAGTTCTGAGGCAGGAGGGGAAGAGCGGGCAGGACAGAGTGGCTGGGGCAAGGAGGGATGAGATGAGCCTGCAGACCACACCAGCCCCTGCCCAACCACGGAGCTCACAGAGAGCAGGCTGCATTCGACGTGAAGGGTGGTGAGTCACTTTTGAAGGAATCTGAGCAGGATGGAGTTGTAGCTGACTTGGTTGTTTATTTTCTTGACTTGGAATGAAGCTGCTGTGCCAAGTGTTTCAGAACCCGTTGCTTTTCATGCGCCTGGCTCTCTGAGCACATCTTTCTCTCACTTTCTACTGCCTTTCTTACTATTCATGTACATGCTGCAAACTCTGTTTACGTTAGCAAAGTAGTTGTTTGCGTCTGGTAAGCAGCAGGTATGGGACATGTTCAAAGCGTTCATGAAGGGGGCCAACACGTTGGTAAGCCTCCGCCCTGTTGTGCCAGCATCCCATATGGGCACCTGTTCATGTCCCGGCTGTTCCACTTTTCATCCAGTTCTCTGCCTGTGGCCAGGGAAAGCAGTCGAGGACGGCCCAAGACCTTGGGACCCTGCACCCACATGGGAGACCTGGAGGAACCTCCTGGCTCCTGGCTTTGGATAGGCTCAGCTTTGGTCATTGGGGTCACCTGGGGAGTGAACCAGATGGAAGATCTTTTTGTCTCTCCTCTCTGTATATCTGACTTTCCAATAAAAATAAGTAAATCTTGGGAAAAAAAAAAAACTAAAGCATAAAGCAGTTATGGGGGGAGGAATGAGTGGCTGCCAATAGCGGCAGGGATGATGTTTTGGGGAAATGTTCTACAAAAAAGAAAGAGAGGAACCAGTAGGTGAGAGATAAGGCTGAAAGAGACAGCATCGTCTCCAGGCTGGAGAACAGTGGCTGGAAACTGTGCTACCTGCCAGACACTGAGAGTGAGACAGGCCTGGTGCGTGATGCACGCACCCTCGCTGGTCCTTGCAAAATTTTCAGGCAAGTACGGAGGATCCCCTAATCCTTGGGGTAGATACCTTCCATGACCCCCAGAAGATCCCTGAAACTGTGAATAGAACCAAACCCCATATATACTTTTTTCCCCCCTAAACATATGTGTGTTACATGTATCTGTGCATACATATATACATACAAAGGTATTTCAGAAAGTTCATGAGAAATGACAGTAACAGATATACTGGGGGGTGGGCATTGTCGCAGATTCCGTGGCACTGCTGCCCCTACTGGAGTGCCTAGGATGCGGTCCTGGCTGCCCTCCCCATTTGGCTTCCTGCTAAGGAGCTTGGGAGTCGGCGTATAATGGCCCAAGGGCTTGGCTTCCTGCCTCTCGGGTGGGGGACCTGACTGGGCCTTCTGGCTGCTGGCTGGCTTCAGCCTGATCCAGCCCTGGATTTTGCTGGTATTTGGATTGACAACCAGTTCATGGAAGATCTCTCTGTCTCTGCTTCTTTCTCTATCATTTTACCTTTCAAAGAAAAAGTTTATTTTGCTAAAAAAAAAAGTTTAACCTGTGTTTTTTTGTTTATTTTTGGTTTTTAAAATAGATTCTGTGTGATTTGTAGATACATTTTTTTAAAAAAATTTTTTTGTTGGAAAGGCAGATATACAGAGAGAAGGAGATACAGAAAGACCCATCCATTGGTTCACGCCCCAAGTGGCTACAATAGCTGGAGCTGAGCCAGCCCGAAGCCAGGAGCCGCGAATTTCTTGTTGGTGTCCCACGCAGGTGTAGGGTCCTAAGGCTTTGGGCCATCCTCAACTGCTTTCCCAGGCCACAAGCAGGGAGCTGGATGGAAAATGGAGCAGCCGGGACACAAATCCGTGTCCATATGGGATCCCGGCAAGTGCAAAGCAAGGAATTTGGCCATTAGGCTACCACACCAGGGTCCTCATGAACTTTCTAAAAGTTTGTTTTTATTTTCACTTGGGAGAGAGACAATGTTTCTGTCTACTGGTTCACTCACCAAATTCCCATAGCAGCCGGGCTTGCGCCTAACTAACACCAGGATCCCAGTGTGGATTTGTCTCCCATATGGGTGGCAGAAGCTCACCTACTGGGGTCAGCCCCTGCTGCCTCCCAGGGTGCATGTGAGCAGGGAGCCAGGACCCGGGGCAGAGCTGGGACTTGAACCCAAGCCCTGTGCTATGCCATGCATCTGTCAGGCCGTGTCTCCATCATCACCTGTGGGGTTTGCAAAGCCTTCTCGTTGACTGACAAAGCTCAGTTTATAAGTTACGTGCAGAGATGAGCGACAGGTGTGACGAGAGAGGCATTTTAACATCCGGAACTGTCACAGGGCTTACTTAAAACGCATGACTGGGGCCCGGCGCGGTGGCGCAAGTGGTTAAGTCCTCGCCTTGCACGCCCGGGATCCCATATGGGCGCCGGTTCTAATCCCGGCAGCCCCGCTTCCCTTCCAGCTCCCTGCCTGTGGCCTGGGAAAGCAGTTGAGGACGGCCCAAAGCTTTGGGAACCTGCACCCGCGCGGGAGACCCGGAAGAGGCTCCTGGCTTCGGATCGGCATAGTATCGGCCCGTTGCGGCTCACTTGGGGAGTGAATCATCGGACGGAAGATCTTCCTCTCTGTCTCTCCTCTCTGTATATCCGCCTTTCCAATTAAAAAAAAAAAAAAAAAAAACAAAAAAAAAAAAAACGCATGACTGATTTATTGCTGAATTTTCCACCTAACCTTTGGAAACTGCAGATAAGAAAGGACTGCTGTGTACGGCCCTCAGCTCCCTGTGCAGACGGTGGAAGAGGGATGGAGGGCCAAGTCCTGCCTCCAGGGGCCCGCCTGGGCGAGGGCACAGGCCAGCCATGGCTTCTTCTGGGCCCTGGGTCCCTCATTCCCTGCTCAGAGTCCATGGTGAAGAGCCTGTGATTGATCATGTGAGAGAGCGCACTGGGCATGTGCTTTGGATCTGGAGGCCACGCTGGTCACCTCGGGCCAGCCAGGGGAGCCCCTAGGGTGACTTTCTGTTCCACCTTCCCTTCCAGAACCAGATGTCTTCCTCATCTTCAGTCACGGCCTGCAGGGCTGCCTGGAGGCCCTGGGTGGGCAGGTCCGAATCACCCCAGCCTGCAATGCCAGCCTTCCTGCCCAACGCTGGAAGTGGGTCTCCCGAAACCGGCTCTTCAACCTGGGGACCACTCAGTGCCTGGGCACGGGCTGGCCAGGCACCAACACCACAGCCTCCCTGGGCATGTATGAGTGTGACCGGGAGGCCCTGAATCTACGCTGGCACTGTCGGACGTTGGGCGACCAGCTGTCCCTGCTCCTAGGGGGCCGTCCCAGCAATGCGTCCAAGGCTGGCCCCCGTGAGCGTGGGGACCAGACGCGCAGTGGCCAGTGGCGCATCTATGACACGGACGAGGATCTCTGTGCCCGGCCCTACTACGGTGAGGGACTGCTTACAGACTTGGAGAGGGCATCTCCAATGTCTAGGGGCAGCACCACCCCAGCTCCCTTCCCGGAAGTCACCTAGGTTCTGAGATGGAGCTGTGGCTGGGGGTGGGCGCTTCTGGGCTCGGTGACAGCAGGGATTGATGGCACTTGGCCTTCTCCTTAGGTGGACTTTTGGCAGGCACGGAGGGTGTGTGTCTTAGCCCTGTAGTATGTGCAGGGAAACCTGTCCCAACTTCCGAGGCTGACCTCACAGGGAGAGAGCCTTAAAGCCATTTTCTGCAGATACCAGCTCATGCCACCTGTGCCGAGTAGGGGTTTTCTCCGGGGCCGAAGGGTGGGCAGGGCTTAGGGTCTGGACTATGAAGGCATGGCCCCTCCCTTGCAGAGGTCTACACTATTCAGGGGAACTCCCACGGGAAGCCGTGCACTATCCCCTTCAAGTACGACAGCCAGTGGTTCCATGGCTGCACCAGCACGGGCCGCGAGGACGGGCACCTGTGGTGTGCCACCACCCAGGACTACGGCAAGGATGAGCGCTGGGGCTTCTGCCCCATCAAGAGTGAGCACCGGGCTGGAGGGGGCGGCAGGCAGGTGGATGGCATACCCCCAGGGACACTCCCTCCCTCCTGGGGTGGGCCCTGCAAAGACAGCTAGTGAAGGACAGGTATACGGCTGCCACGGTGACAGGTAACGACTGTGAGACCTTCTGGGACAAGGACCAGCTGACCGACAGCTGCTACCAGTTTAACTTCCAGTCCACACTGTCATGGCGGGAGGCCTGGGCCAGCTGTGAGCAGCAAGGGGCGGATCTGCTGAGCATCACGGAGATCCATGAGCAGACCTACATCAACGGTGAGCGGGGCTGCCGCTGAGGACTGGACCTGGGCGGCGTGGACCGACGGGGCGGCGTGGACCGACGGGGCGGGGTGCACCGACGGGGCGGCGTGGACCGACGGGGCGGCGTGGACCGACGGGGCGGCGTGGACCGACGGGGCGGGGTGCACCGACGGGGCGGCGTGGACCGACAGGGCGGCGTGTCAGGTTGCTGGCGGTGGGGAGCTGGGAGACAGAGGCTGGGAACCTCCTCCTTTCCTGCCCCCTGCTGCTGCCAGGGTTCCTGACTGGGTACAGCTCCACGCTGTGGATTGGCCTCAACGACCTGGACACCAGTGGCGGCTGGCAGTGGTCAGACAACTCGCCCCTCAAGTACCTCAACTGGGAGAGCGGTGAGGCGCTGGTTTGGGGCTCAGGGGGGCTTAGGAGACCCCCACCCCTCCTACCACCAGGCATGTGGGCTCCTGTGGACTCCTGTACCCTACTCTGGGAGAGCAGGTGGAAAAGCACAGCTTTCTAACCATCTTGACCTGAGCACCCCCAGCCCCGTCCCTATAGTGCTTTGGGGTAAACTTGGAACCAACGTGTCTCCCAGGCAGGGGGAACCATGTGCTAAGAGCTCAGGGCCTGAACCAGATTAAAACTGCTGCTGTCCTTGGGAGCAGTGTCCAACACATCTAGAGGCTGATCCAGGGAATTGGGGGCTGGTACTTGGGGAGGACAGGGGCCCTGTGGGCCCAGGTCAGGAAGCAGTGAAATCTGGCAGAGGGAGGCTGGGCTGCCCAAGGAGCAGAAGGCAGCAAGGGAGTCCGAGGAGAGGCTTCCAGGCCCTGGTGTGAACTTGTCTTCCCTGGCCCACAGATCAGCCCGACAACCCCAGCGAGGAGAACTGTGGAGTGATCCGCACCGAGTCCTCTGGCGGCTGGCAGAACCGTGACTGCAGTATGGCATTGCCGTACGTGTGCAAGAAAAAGCCCAATGCCACATCTGAGCCCAACCTGCCAGGTGAGCTCCCCACCTGGCCACGTGCCTAACTGCCAGGTGATTCCCCTACTAGGTGCCCAACCACCAGGTGATCCTCCCCCACCAGGTGCCCAACCTGTCAGGTGAGCCCCCTGTCTCCGCCAGGTGAGCTGGGGCCTGGGCTGCAAGGTGAGGGGCATCAGAACCCTAGCCACAGCTGGTCCAACCTCTCCATTCGCTGCCTGCACAGCCCAGAACGATTCTGCTCCTCCCTGTTCTTACGTCATTGTTCAGCCAGAGTCTGAGCAAACTGGACTGTGTCAGAGTGGAGGCCATGGTCGGCAGACTCCACATCACCCCAAGTTCAGGCTGTGGTATATGGTCCACATGAGAGACCTGGAGAAGTGGCCTACGCTGTGAGCGTTAGCGAGGGTTTGTAGACACCATCACTTACGTTATACTTGCATCATGAGCCAACTGGAGACGATTTAAACTGCAGGAGGATGTGTGTGGCTTAGGTGCAAGTACCACACCATTTGCCCTAAAGGCCTGGAGCATCACCTGTGGGCTGTTGGTGCCCACGGTGGTTCCTGTAAGCAGTTGCCCTGGGGTCACCAAGCTGTTACAGTTCTCAGAATATAGTTGGGGAGCACTGTGGTAGAGTGTCAAACTTCCTTGTTCTGCACTGGCTCCTGCCCGTGCAGACCCCAGGGTGGGCTTGCTTATGCTCTTAGTGAGTGGGTTCCTTCTGCCCAGGCTCGGGGAGACCTGGATTGAATTCCCAGCTGCCGGCTTTGGCCTGGACTCCTAGCCTTGACTGAACTGGGGGATGGGAGCGCCTTCTCCCTGGCTCTGATATGGTTAATAGGAAATGTTGTACTGTCAGGCCCCACCCTGACGAGTTGACTGAGAGCTTGCAGTGAAGAGGATTCCTGGATGATTCATGCCCAGGTCCCAGATGAGACACAGCAGCTTGTGAGCACAGCCGTGAGAGCTCGGAGGAGCAGGTTCCAGCCAGTCGCTCCGGGGTCTTGGCTGCTGCCCAGAGTTTGGGTGGGGCCAGGGATGGCTGTGGGGGACTGCTGCAAGCATGAGGGTTTAGGATTCCCGTGCAGGAGTCTGGGGTGATGGGCAGGACCAGCCCTGGCTGCTGTGTGACCCTGGGCAGGCAGTGGAGTGTCCGAGATACTGCCTTTTAGCTGAGGGTGACCCCGTTCCCCGTGCATGGTGAGTGTCACTTGACGGGGTGACCAGGGCTGTGTATCATTGTAGGCTTGGGGGGGGGGGGCGGTGGTGGGGAATAGCAGGAGTCCAGGTCGCTGTAGGGATGAGAAAGAAGGGATTTTTTCCAAGGAAAATGTGGGGAATCCAGAAGAAATTTGCAAACTCCAGCTAGTAAAGAGCAGAACTTCTGCTCCTGACAAAGATGATCTTGCCTGTGGCCACTGCTCTCTCCCCCTGGCTAAGCGGGTAGTGCAGCCCGCATCTGGGACCGCCCCCACCTCCAGCTCCCGGGAGTTGGAGGCAAACACCCGGCCTCCAGTCTTCCCTAAGGTCAGGCTGGGTGCCTTGCCTGTCTCCAAGACCACTGGCCCCTCCCTGTGGCCTCTCTCCAAGACCACTGGCCCCTCCCTGAACGTCCCTGTGCAGCTGCTTTGCTCCACGCCCACACCTCTGCAGGAAGTGTGTCCTGGGCCACAAGCTCCCCACGCATCCAGAGCCTGCCTGCTCCCTTCCCGAGTCCTTAGCACCTCAAATCCAGTCCGTCCATTGGTCAACAAGCGATGATTGGCAGGTCCTAAACCAAGGAATGAGCAGCCCGCTCTCTTTGCCAGGCCTCTGGGAGGGGCTGCAGCTGGACCCCAGAGCACAGGCTGGAGTGGAGCAGATCCCAGAATCCCAGCGTGGGGCGAGGCTGGGAGCGGGCTCAGGCTTGCCTGCTCAGCCAGGCACCATCCTGCCTGAGCCTGACACTATGGCTGGTTTGGCCAAGTCTCGTTTTCTGCTGCCAAGACCCAACTGAGGGCTTCAGCCCCTGGATATGGGCACAAGGGAGGGCCAGGGTTGGGTCAGCTTCTTAGCCCTGGGGTGGGTAGTGGAGCCAGATCAGGAATCCCAGGCCTTCTGCAGGGACTGGCCACCCTGCGGGGTTCACACAGTGCCCGCCCTCAGCCTTTGAGCACTGGGCCCTGTGAATGTTTCAAGGTGCTGGTTCCCTACTCCCTCATCTACCTCTGTCCAGACCAGCACAGAGCTGCCCAGCAATGCATGCTGCTTGGTGCAATAATGGCGGCTCCAGTTCCAATGCAAGGAGGCAGAGAGCTAAACGTTGAATCTCTTAGCTGTAAGCCCCTTTCCAGAGGCAGGGGTTGAAACACACCCTGGTGGCTGGTCCCAGCTCCCCATCCATTTCCTCCTGGGCGCAACCACACTGATCACGCTCCCTGAGCCTCCAACTGCGCTTGCGGAGTTTTAACCCTTTCAGTAGTCCTGGCAGGAGGACAGATCTGGGACGGGGTGGCGGTGCTGGACTGGCTGGCAGAGTCTCTGAGCGGCAGCGTGTGGGTCTCTGCAGACAGGTGGGCCAACGTGAAGGTGGAATGTGAACCGAGCTGGCAGCCCTTCCAGGGCCACTGCTATCGCCTGCAGGCCGAAAAGCGCAGCTGGCAGGAGTCCAAGAAGGTGTGTGTGCGGGCCGGCGGCGACCTGCTCAGCATCCACAGCATGGCCGAGCTGGAGTTCGTCACCAAGCAGATCAAGCAAGGCGAGGCACCGCCCTTCCTCACCTTGGGGGCTGCCCCTCCCTCCCCTGCTGTGTGGGTGGTCCAGGCTGACATCTCACCTTTGCCCCGGCTGCACCCCAGAGGTGGAGGAGCTGTGGATCGGCCTCAATGACCTGAAGCTGCAAATGAATTTTGAGTGGTCCGACGGGAGCCTCGTGAGCTTCACCCACTGGCACCCTTTTGAGCCCAACAACTTCCGGGACAGCCTGGAGGACTGTGTCACCATCTGGGGGCCGGTGAGATCTCCTTTCCCTGTTGCTCCAGCCGAAGGACACCCTGCCAGAATCACCTGCCTGTAACTGCTCCCAGCTCCCCCATCGTTTGCTTGGCCGTCCCCCTCCTGCCTGCTCATCTTTTCCACGTGGGCTGACTGCCAGGGCTTGAATCCCACCTGCACCCCCGAACTAGCTGAGTCACCTTGGCAAGTTACCATGGCAGGAAGATTAAAGGAGGCTGCTTGCCTGGCCCTCCCTTGGCCACCTGCCAGCTGCTCTTCCTCACCGGCAGGTGGCATCTGAACCCGCATCATGGGAGATGCTGACGCAGCATCTGCCCGCCTGACTGCCCAGCCCAGGCTCCTGTTCCCCCCACACAGCATGGGGCTGTGACTCTTGGCTGCAATTTCACTGTAGGTGCAGGGTAGGCAGGTGAAGGATTGGCTGCGGGGCTGCCAATAAGAGGGGCAAAGCCATAGGACAGGGGCAAGTGGGACAGGCTGCCGTCAGATGCTGCGAATCCCTCCAGGACTGTGGTGTTAGAGCTGTTTGCCTTATGAGATGCCACATTTGATTTTTTTTTTAAAAAGATTTCTTTATTTTTGTTGGAAAGGCAGATTGACAGAGAAGGAGACAGAAAGCTCTTCCATCCACTCGTTTGCTCCCCAAATGGCCACAATGGCTGGAGCTTCCTGGTCTCCCATGTGAATGCGGGGGTCCCAAGGCTTTGACCGTCCTCCACTGCTTTCCCAGGCCACAAGCAGGGAGCTGGATGGGAAGTGAAGCAGCCAGGACATGAACCAGTACCTTTATGAGATGGCAGTACTTGCAAGGGGAAGATTAGCCAATTGAGCTATTGTGCCAGGCCCAGCATTTAAGAATTAAAAACCAATTCTTTACCAAGTGTCTGTCATGTGGCTGGCTGGCATTTGAGGTGCACTTGAAGGGCAGGCCATGCTACCTGGGCCAGGGCATTTCGGCAGGGGCCTTTAGAGCTGAAATTGGGGGCTCGGCACCCCAGTCTGCCCCACCACGGCTCCACACGTGCCCAATGGACAACCACGAAAACCCCACCTGTAACAGTCATAGCACGTTTGTTTATGAAATGACTTGTGAGTGATCTGAAAGAAGGAATTTCGTCCCATAGACAGTGCCTGCTGGAGTACCAAGGTGTTTGGTTGGTGCTCCGAGGACCATTAGAGAACCAATCTGCCCTCCCCACCCTGCAGCCTGTGACATGAGAAGCCAGGACTCCAGCATGCCAGGGTCAGGGCCAAGGGCAGGCAGACAGTTCTGGAAGCCAGGCTGAGAGCTAGGACATGGGTGACGGAGGCTGAAACCCTCGCTGTGACCCTAGGAAGGCCGCTGGAACGACAGTCCCTGTAACCAGTCCTTGCCGTCCATCTGCAAGAAGGCAGGCCAGCTGAGCCAGGGCGCCGCCGAGGAGGACCACGGCTGCCGCAAGGTGAGGGCCCTGGCTGGGAGCAGCTGGCCGGGCTTCCAGGGCAGGTGGTGGCTGGATCGTGCAGCAGGCCCTCCCAGCAAGCCCTGAATACTCCTCTTGATGGGCATCCACTTCCAGAGGCAGTGGAGAGACAGGGAGGTGGGGTGGCCCATTGCTGTGGCCTGGGAGGCGTGGCTGTGGACCCCCGCCCCGCCCCAGCCCTGTCTCCCTCTGCGGCTTCGCTGGCCCTTACCAGGCTGAGGTGTGATGTGCGATGCTGTACGGTGCGCTGTGACAAGGTGAGGTACTATGTGTGTATGTGTGTGTGTGTGTGTGTGTGTGTGTGTGTGTGTGTGTGTGTCTTTCTGTTTCCTCCCGCGGGACCACACCTTCCCCTCCTGCTCCTGGCCCCTCTGGGCTTCATGATGGAGGGGGGCGGGCACTTAAGGAATGAAAGGTGAATAAGCGAGTGAGACAGTGAGGGTGGGAACATGGGTGGGCAACAGCCCATTTCCTGTGCCCTCCAGGCTGCCCCAGCCCGCAGCCCTCTAAATGGTGTGGCTGCTCCTTAAAGGACACTTTGTGTCCTCCTGGCTCCTCCCATGAGCTCCACACTGCCAGCCTGGCTCCTCCCTGCCTTCCTTTGGCTCAAGCCCTGGATCACACCTTCTCCCACCCACAGCCCAGATCCCCGAGCAGGAAACCCCAACAGACCTGAGGGAGGAGGCAGCTGCCCCGTGCCTGGGGCAGGGGCACAGTGGGGTCTCTATCCTGGCCTGTGGGAGGTGGGAGCGGGCGGTGGGCCCAGCTTTTCCCACCATCCTGGGGCGTACCCAGACCCCTCTGCACCTGGGCATCTCTGCCTAGCCTTTCGGCACTGTGTACCTGGTTCATGGGAAGGCTCCCATGGTGTCGTGAGCCATCCTCTAAGCCAGACCATGCACCCTGGTCTGATGGCTGTGGGTTGACAACGGAGGGGAGAGAGCATGTGCCAAGCACGGACAGTCCCCCGTGTCCTGCACACACCCCTTCCCTATGTATGGCACCTGTCACCCCCAGACTGGTGAGCGAGGTGAGGAGTCATCTCCCTCACAGAAACCCTTCTATCCACTCTCTTGAGCCAGGGATGGACCTGGCACAGCCCCTCCTGCTACTGGCTGGGAGAGGACCAGGTGACCTACAGCGAGGCCCGGCGCCTGTGCACTGAACACGGCTCCCAGCTGGTCACCATCACCAACAGGTACCTCCCCGAGTGTCCTTCGCCCCAGCCTGGCCTCTCAGGGTAGTGCCCTGTCATGACATCCCCATGAGTCCCCTGGGGTCTCGACAGGCTTGAGGATCTGGTAAAATCTCATCCCCAAACGACTTTAACATCTTTAGCAACTGAAGGTTAGATGGCATGAGGGACAAGCCTTGGCGAGATGAGATTTTCTTTGGGCAGTGGGCAGAGGGAGCTGGGTTGTCCCAGGGCCAGCTACAGGACTGTTAGGGGTCTCCACTTTGCCCAGGCCCAGCTCCCTGGCTCTCACAGTACGGTGTTGGGTGAGGGGTGAGCTCTCCACCTTGACCAGCCCATCTCTCTCTGGAAGGTTCGAGCAGGCCTTCATCAGCAGCCTCATCTACAACTGGGAAGGCGAGTACTTCTGGACGGCCCTGCAGGACCTTAACAGTACCGGCTCCTTCTGCTGGCTCAGCGGGGATGAGGTCATGTACACTCACTGGAACCGGGACCAGCCTGGTGAGTCCCTCCTCGTGGCACTGGGGTGGCCCCTGGCCCCCACCTGGCCTTGGTGCTGCTGCTGGGCAGTTGCGGTGCTCTGGCTCTACTGGAGGTCCCGGGTCTGACTGCTCAGCCCTGACCCTGAACCTCAGTCTCCTCATCTGTTAGATGGGCATAGCTTGAGCCTTCCCGTGGGACTGGTGGGAGGGCTCCAGTGTATGTGTGATGCCACACGGTGCTGGCATTCCTGTTGGGAACGCGCCACGATCATTCTGTTTCAACCCTTTTTCAATAATCCCATGATACAGTTCAGGGAGGTTAAGCGGCTTGCCTGAAATGTCACAGTGATGAAGTGACTGAACCCCCTGCCCGTCTCCTGGTGTGTCCTGCAGGGCTGGAGGACTCCAGGCCCTGCAGGGAGGCGAGCCTTCCTTGGCCTGAGGTGCCCCGTCTGCTTCTTCAGGGTTCAGCCGCGGGGGCTGCGTGGCCCTGGCCACGGGCAGTGCCATGGGGCTCTGGGAAGTGAAGAATTGCACTTCATTCCGGGCGCGCTACATCTGCCGGCAGAGCCTCGGCACGCCGGTGACGCCAGAGCTGCCGGGGCCGGATCCCACGCCCAGCCTCACGGGCCCCTGTCCCAGGGGCTGGGGCTCGGCCCCTAAACTCCGGTTCTGCTATAGGGTAAGGCAGCCCGTTGGCCTGACCGTCAGGGACCCCAGGGGATGGCACCCAGACTGCAGATGGGGTTGGTTTCTGGGGGAAGGCTCGCTGGGGGCTCCGAGGCAGGTGCGAGGCGGCTGCTCAGCCAGCAGCTGGGGAATTGGTGGAAAACCCTTAGAGCTGCAGATGCTGGGGGTCAGCCTGGCTGGTCTGTGTGTTTCTTTTTATTTGCTTGTTTGAAAAGCAGAGTGACAGAGAGGAGAAGGGGCAGACAGGACAGAAACACATTATCCATCTACTGGTTCACTCCCCAAATGACTGTCAGAGCGTGGGTTAGGCCAGGCTAAAAACAGGAGCCTGGCAATCCATCCAGGTCTGCCCCCATGAATGGCAAGGGGATGGACCATCATATGCTACATGCTAGCACATGACCAGGAATCTGAATTGGAAGCTTGGAGTAGCTGGGACTTAAACCGGTCCCTCCCATACCAGATGGGTTTGTTTCAGGCTGTGGGTTAAGCTGCTGCCACCATGCCTGTCCTGGCTTTACCTGGCGTGGGTGCTGTGGCTCAGTAGGCTAAGCTACCTCTTGGCACTTGGCAACCCACATAAAAATGCGTTTTGTTTTGTTTTGTTTTGTTTTGTTTTGAGTCCTGGCTGCTTTACTTCCAATTCAGCTTTCTGCTAATATGCCTAGGAAAGAAACCAAGATGACCCAAATACTTGGGACCCTGTCACCCATGGAAGGCCACAGTGGACTTCCTTGACCCCGGCTTTGGCCTGGCCCAGCTCTGGCTGTTGCAACCATTTGAGGGGAATGAACCAGCAGATAGAAAACTTCTCTTTTTCTGTATCACTCTGCCACTTCAATTAGTCATTTTAAAACAAAATCACTAAGCATTAAAAAATAAATAGCTAAAATAAACCTTTTCAGATTACCACGTTGGAAATTTGAATCCTGCTAGGTTTAGGAGTCCCCAAAGGAGTTCAGGACTTACAGAGAAGAAAGAGAGAGAGAGATCTATTTTCCTTTTGCTGTTTCATTCTCCAAATGGCCACAATGGCCAAAGCTGAACCTGTCCAAAGCCAGGAGTCAGGAGCTTCTTCTGGGTCTCCCAAGTGGACAGCAGGGACCCAAGTACTTGGCCTGTCCTTTGTTGCTTCCCAGGAGCTTTAGCAGGGTTCTAGATCAGAAGTGGGGCAGCCAGGTCTCGAACTGGCATCCATGTGGGATGCCAGCGCTATAGGCCATGGTACTTGCTGCGCCACGGCACTGGCCACTCAGGGTCACTCTTGCGTGCAGAGATAGAAAGCCCAGCGAGGGAAGGGATTTGTCTACAAATTGCTATGGCTCTTCTGCAATTGTAGCCCACGTCTCCTTCCTGGTCAGGTGACGGGGCCCAGGGATCGGCTCTCTGCTGAGCAGGGCTGTCCACGGTCACGGAGCTCAACAGCAGGGCCCCTGGGAGGGTGGGCAGAGGGGACAGCTTGGATAGCCAGGCTGTGCTTCTGCAGGTGTTCAGCTCTGAGCGGCCGCAGAGCAAGAAGAGCTGGATCCAGGCGCAGAGTGCCTGCCACGAGCTGGGAGCCCAGCTGCTGAGCCTGGGCAGCTACGAGGAGGAGCACTTCGTGGCAAACATGCTCAACAAGATCTTCGGGTACTGAGCCCGGGACAGGGCTGCTGCACACGGGGGGGGGGGGGGAGCAGGCACGGCAGGGCCAGTGGACACTGGCTTCTGCTAGCTGGGGGCAGGAGGAGGGCGGCATGGAGGGAACTTCAGTGAGGCCTACCCCAGGGCTTGTAGTGGCCTGGTGGCGATGGCCACTCCCCACAGGGGTGTGGGGGCACAGTGTGTGGGCCCTTCCGAGTGAGCAGTGGAGAGGCCTGGTGAGGTCTTGGCTCAGAGGGGCAGGGATCCTGTTTGGATGCCAGTGCCTCTCACTTCCCTGTGTTCTGTTCCCCCCCCCCCCCCGGGTGGTGCAGCGAATCAGAGCCCGAGATCCACGAGCAGCACCTCTTCTGGATTGGCCTGAACCGTCGCGACCCGGCAGGTGGTCAGAGCTGGCGCTGGAGCGATGGCCTCGGGGTGAGCTCCGGGTCTGGTGGAGGGGCCGGGGACTTCACGGCCAGGCCTAGTGCCTCAGAACCCGCCCCCTGCCGCCCTACAGTTCTCATACCACAATTTTGACCGGAGCCGGCACGACGACGACGACATCAGGGGTTGCGCGGTGCTCGATTTGGCCTCCCTGCAGTGGGTGGCCATGCAGTGCGAGACGCAGCTGGACTGGATCTGCAAGATCCCTAGAGGTCAAGCGGGGTGGGACGGGGTGGGCGTCGGGGCCAGGGTCCCTGCAGCGACCCCTCCCCGCTGCAGTGGCTCTGCCTACCTTCCCGTCTCTCTCCTGCACCCCAGGCGTCGACGTACGGGATCCAGACGGCAGACCACAAGGTAAGCCCCCCCCCCCCCCCCCCCCCCCCCCCCCCCCGTGCACCTCCACTGCCACCGCGGTCCCGGGCCAGGAAAGGGAGACAGGGTGGGCTTGGGTAACCTGGGCACCCGCTGCTGGAGCAAGTGCACAACGTGGGTGCCCTGCTGGCCCTGGCCTCTGCCTCTTACGCACCATGCTGCTCCCCAGGCCGGCGGGAGTGGCAGCGTTTCCAAGAGGCCGAGTACAGATTCTTCGAGCACCACTCGACGTGGGCGCAAGCGCAGCGCATCTGCACGTGGTTCCAGGCCGAGCTGGCCTCCGTACACAGCCAGGCCGAGCTCGACTTCCTGGGGCACAATCTGCAGAAGGTGAGCTGTGGAGGCGCAGGGGGCTCCAGGCAGGGAGAGGCCATGGAAGCGCGCGCGTACCCTCACCTTTCCTCCTTTCCGCTCTTCCCTCCCCAGTTCTCCCTGGGCCAGGAGCAGCACTGGTGGATCGGCCTGCACACCTCGGAGAGTGATGGGCGCTTCAGGTACGAGCCCTGGCCGGCAGCAGGTACAGAGGAGAGAGTATCTGGCCCAAGTGATGGCTGCGGCTCCTACTGTGTGTCTATGGTTCTTCTCAGTGAATTGGGTCAGCCTAGGGTGCGGCCCTGTGTGTGAGGTGTCCACCATGCGTCTGAGTCTTGAGACAGGAAGGTCCAGCAGCTTAGGGAAATCTGAATACATCTTTGCTCCCGGGTTTTGTTTTGGTTTGGTTTGGTTGGTTGGTTGGTTTTCCTTCTAGAGGAATGAGTGCCTGGGGCCAGGGGGGGCCTTCATGGACGACTCCAGGTCTTTGGGGGTCCCCCTGTCTGTACTTGGCTTGTAGCCCCTCTTCTTAGCCAGCAGCCCTTGGGTTTGGGTCCTCCCCTGGCCCTTGCATACCACACGGAGGTGGGACAGAACCCCGGGCTCTGCCACTGCAGGTGGACAGATGGTTCCATTATAAACTTCATCTCCTGGGCTCCTGGCAAACCGCGGCCCGTTGGCAAGGACAAGAAGTGCGTGTACATGACAGCCAGCCGAGGTGAGGGCCAGCTGGGGGCACAGTTGTCCCCAAGAGGGTGCATCTGGGCTGCGGTTAGGCAAGCCTGGGCCAGGGTCAGCTGTCTCTTTTCACGGTCTGGGTCCTCCTAACCCAAGAAGGGCTAGACCCAGAGAGGGGGTGGGGTCTGGCTTGCCCCAGGCTCGGGGTAGGGGAACAGCGTCTGCATTAGTGGAACACTGGATCCAGAGCTGGGGACGGGGTGTTAAACTTTGTGGGAGTCCTCGCCAAGCCAGCCCCCAGCCCATCCCTTCTCCTTTCTGCAGAGGACTGGGGGGACCAGAGGTGCCTGACAGCTCTGCCCTACATCTGTAAGCGCAGTAACAGCACCCGGGATGCACGGCCCCCAGACCCGCCTCCTGCAGCCATAGGAGGCTGCCCCTCCGGTTGGAACCAGTTCCTCAACAAGGTAGGAGGCAGGGAGAAAATGTGGACTTGGGGGACAGGTGCTGGCCATTTGCTAGCGTCATACTGTAGCTTCGAGCTTGTACCCACCAGTGCCAGGGGCTGGCTTTTCTAGAAAGTGACTCAGTAGCAGTCCTGCTGACTGCCAGGAGGCAAAGTGGTCCGATCACTTTGTGAATTTTCTCCACTAGTGGTCACCAAACATTTTGATAATGAATTCTGAGCAGAACAGAATATTGAACACACATACCTGAACAGTGAGTGTGTATACATTTTGCTCATACGTGTATGAATAAGCTATGTACCTTACCGATATGACTGACGTCGTATATAGTAAAATATGCACAGGAGCAAAACAATGTAAATGGTGAACCAGAGATGAAACTTTATTTTAATAATTTGTTAAATAGAAATTCATATTTCTATTAAGAAATTATATTTCTTCTATATTTATTATTCAATTACTTGTATATATATTTTCTATCCCATTTTCCTTTTCTAATTTTTTTTTGTGGGTAAGACCATTGTTTCCACATGTTTTTTTTTTTTTTTCTGTATCTGGGGTAAGGGGGGAGGGAGATGAATAAAAAAATTCTTACTAGTATAAAAACCTGTTTTTGTGCTCACTTAAAAATGGCCAGTTCTGAATCATGAATAAGAGCAGTGTAAGTGCTCATCCTCCGATATTTTTAAAGTCTTGGTCTGACGCTTTGTGATGTGTGAGACACCGGTCTCCATTCAGATTCTTTCAGAATGTGGACTTGGGGTACGTAGGAGGGACCTCTCACTTGACCACAGGGAGCAGAGCGGAGCAGCGTTGCCTGCCACCGGCTGAGCATTGTAAATCGCTCTGCCTGGTTCCTCACCCTCCTGTCACTCCAACAAAGCTTTTTTGGGGTTTAAAATTGACAAATTTCTACATCCTATCTGCCTGATATATGCACAATGAGCCCAATGTGAAGAGTTGTGTTTCTAAACTTGTTTTCAAGTGCCCCTTCCATAGTGGGAGCTGCTTTTATTATTTTTGGGGGGGGCTGCTTTTCACCCAGGGGGACCCTCCTTACTGTCACCCAGAAGTTGGTAGATAGTTTAGAGCCAAGAGAGAAGGTGACCACGTACTGGTGTAGTGGGCATGGGCTCCCGCCAGGGCATACAGGGGCACGCATACAGGACGGGCACTGGGCTAGGATCCCCGAGCTCAGGCGATCCCGGTGTCGTGGGCTTCCCACCTGCAGAGCATTTAGGAGAATATTAATAATTGTTATACTAAGACAGGAAAAACAGGTGGAGGGTGCTGAGCTGTGTGCATTACTCAAGCTCTAGTAACACAGACAGGAAGAACGCTAACATGCCAGGAACCTGCTCCCCTGCTCCCCGCCACCAGATCCCACCGTCACTCCCCTGCTCCCTGCCACCCTGCTCCCGCCACCAGATCCCACCGTCACTCCCCTGCTCCCCGCCACACCAGATCCCACCGTCAGCAGTTCCCACTTCCCTTACCGGCCTCATCCATGCAATTGGGATCATGTCAAAAGCCACCACTTCATGGGGAACCTCTTTCTCAGCTTCCCGTCCGGAGGCTTCTGACCTTCCTCCCCTGCCTATCAAGCAGGATGCATGTCTCAGCGTGCTAAATTCTTGCTGAATTCACGGGCAGGCATGGCGGTCACGGTCACGACACCATGGCTCCTGCCCCCTGGAAACCACAGCACAGACTCCTCCCCCACTGGCAGCTCGATTGCTTTCCATGGTTTCAGATTTCTGCAGTTAGCCACAGACTAAACTCCACAAAGGACTCACACGTTTCACAACCCTGGTCATTCCGGGCTGTGAGTCGCAGGGGATGGCAGGCCTTCCTGCACCCTGACGGGACCCAGTTTTTGGTCCAGGTGTCTAGGTAACTGTCTGGGTTATCTGATGGACCTCCTTTCAAGTACTCCTGGTTTGTACTTGATAACCAGCCCACAGTGCAAGGCTGGTGATCCTGAGTTGTGTGGGAGTATGCTATTATACTTGTTCTGTCATTATTAGCTGTGGCTGATCTCTTATTATGTCTAAATTACAAATTAACCCTTACTACAGTGGGTTTTTTTCAAGATTTATTTATTTGTATTGTAAAGTTAGATATGCAGAGAAGAGGAGAGACAGGAAGATCTTCTGTCCGTTAATTCACTCCCCAAGCGGCCGCAATGGCTGGAGCTGAGCCAGTCCCAAGCCAGGAGCCTGGAACCTCTTCCAGATCTCCCACGTAGGTACAGGGTCCCAAGGTTTTGGGCCGTTCTCAACTGCTTTCCCAGGCCACAAGCTGGGAGCTGAATGGGAAATGAGGTTGCTGGGATTAGAACCATAGGGGACCCATTAGCATCCATATGGGATCCCAGTGTGTGCAAGGTGTGGCCTTTTAGCCACTAGGCTACTGCATCAGGCCCCACCACAGTTTTTTAAGTATAGGGGAAAAACCTACATAGCATATACAGGGGATTTTGGAAATAACGCCCATGGGTCAGCGAGCACTTTTCTATTTGGAGCTACCTGCTCCTGACCTCCCAGGCTCCCAACACTCTGTTCTTCAGTTCTAAAGAGAAAAGGATGCTAGAGGTGATGGTGCAGGTTCAGAAAGCAGGATGGTAGCTCGGGAGCTGACCTCATCCTCTGCTGCTTGGCTCTTGTTCTGTTGTTCTGGTGACGGGACCTTGATGGCCCAAAGAACCCACTCATGGACAGGGGTGTGTGAGTCCTCAGTGTTTGGCTGGCAGGGGGAGGGAGCCCAAACATCCTGTTCTCAGCAGTGTTCCCGGGACCTCTGTGGCACCTGCTGCTGAAGGTTCCTGGGACAGGGAGATACAGCTGCACCTCACATTGTCCCCTGCTCCCCCTTCCAGTGTTTCCGGATCCAGGGCCAGGACCCCCAGGACCGAGTGAAGTGGTCAGAAGCACAGTTCTCCTGCGAACAGCAAGAGGCACAGCTGGTCACCATTGCTAATCCTTTAGAGCAAGGTAGGGCCTGCCCGTGGGAGGGCTAGGGGTCCCTAGATCAGGTGGCTGGAGCAGAGCCAGCCCTGGCACTCACCCATCTTCCTGGGGACCCCAGCATTCATCACAGCCAGCCTGCCCAATGTGACCTTTGACCTGTGGATTGGCCTCCACGCCTCGCAGAGGGATTTCCAGTGGGTGGAGCAGGAGCCACTGCTCTATACCAATTGGGCACCTGGGGAACCCTCGGGCCCCAGCCCTGCCCCCAGTGGCAGCAAGCCGGTAAGGACCTCCCTCGACCCCCACATCTGGCTGCCTCAGCTCCTCTGGGTCTCCCCTCCTTCAGCTTACCCTGCAGCTGCTGGGGTTCCCTTCACACTCCTTCCCTGCAGACCAGCTGTGCCGTGGTCCTGCACAGCCCCTCTGCCCACTTCACCGGCCGCTGGGACGATCGGAGCTGCACGGAGGAGACACATGGTTTCATCTGTCAGAAGGGCACAGGTGCATCACCCCTCCCCCACCCCCAGCAGAGCTGAGCAAAGCTGAGCAGAGCTGAGCAGAGCTGAGCAGAGCTGGGAGGGTGGAAACACAGTTTCTGAGCTGGGGGTGCAGGGGGGCGGAAAGTCCCTCCAGGATGCTGGACCTGCTGGAAGCAGGTGAGCAGAAAGGCCAGATGCTAATGGGAGGGCTAGGCAGGAATCCCCAGGGCTTCCTGGAGAGCTGGGTGCTGGGCCGTGTGGAGGGCTATCATGGCAGGTATAGGGACCCTGAGGTTCTAAGTCTGAGATGTGTCTGTGGGATCTCCCAGCCCTGGGTTTGTCGGGAAGGGTAGACCAAGGCCAGCTTCCTGCTACAAATGGCAATGGTGACTGACACCCCAGCGAAGGGGCGTTTCCCCTGTCCCCGGGGCAGACCTGGTCTTTGCTTCATGTCTGGGGTCCCCAGGCCCGGGAGCCAGGTGAGAGGGGCAGAGCCAGGCCTGATCCCTGTCCCCCCTTCTCCCGCAGACCCCTCCCTGAGCCCATCTCCAGCAGCCACACCCCCTGCCCCTGGCACCGACCTCTCCTACCTCAACGGCACCTTCCGGCTGCTGCAGAAGCCGCTGCGTTGGCATGATGCCCTCCTGCTGTGCGAGAGCCGCAATGCCAGCCTGGCTCACGTGTTCGACCCCTACACCCAGGCCTTCCTCACGCAGGCCACCCGCGGGCTGCGCACACCGCTCTGGATCGGGCTGGCCAGCGAAGAGGTGGGCTCCCAAGGCCACCTAGGCGCCCTGGCCTCCCGCCATGGCCCACCCCACCACACACACCCTGACTTTCCTCCTCTTCCTCCCACGCCATGCGCTCGTGCACGCAGGGTTCCCGGCGGTACTCCTGGGTCTCAGAGGAGCCGCTGAGCTTCGCAAGCTGGCAGGACGGGGAACCGCAGCAGCCAGGTGGCTGTGCCTATGTGGACGTGGATGGGGCCTGGCGCACCGCCAGCTGTGACACCAAACTGCAGGGGGCCGTGTGTGGAGTGGGCGGCGGTAAGTGCCACCTGCCGGGTCCGAGGCGCGGGCGGGCGGGCGGGCGTGGCGCTGCAGAGGACGCAGGGCCACTCGCCCCCTTCCGCCCCCCCGACAGGGCCCCCTCCTCTGCAAAGGTTCAGCTACCAGGGCAGCTGCCCTCAGGGGCTGGCCGACTCGGCCTGGATTCCTTTCCGCGAGCACTGCTACTTGTTCCACATGGAACTGCTGCTGGGGCACAAGGAGGCGTTGCAGCGCTGCCAGAGAGGTGGGCGGCCGCGCCCCGGAGCGCACTGGGGAGCGCCGGGACACCCCCTCGGTCACGGAACCTTCACCCGCGCTGGCACCCCCGAGAGAGGGACCCCGTGTATCCTGACGTTGGCCTCCCCTGTGCTTGTAGCGGGGGGCGCGGTGCTGTCCATTCTGGACGAGATGGAGAACGTATTCGTCTGGGAGCACCTGCAGAGCGCCGAGGGCCAGAATCGCGGCGCCTGGTTGGGCATGAACTTCAACCCCAAAGGTGACGCCGCGGGGGTCAGGGGTGCGGACGTAGGGACGAGGTACCCTAGCACTGTGCTCTGAGCCTTGACCCCGGGGTGGGTAACGGAGGGAAGGCAGAGACAGTTCTGGCACAGGTCTGCTCCTGCTCGCCGCCCCACCCCGCTCTCCCCTTGCCCACACCCCTCAAGGCCCTCTCTCCCACCTAGGGGGTACACTGGTGTGGCAAGACAACACAGCCGTGAACTACTCCAACTGGGGACCCCCGGGCTTGGGCCCCAGCATGCTGAGCCACAACAGCTGCTACTGGATTCAGAGCACCAACGGGCTCTGGCGTCCTGGCGCCTGCACCAACGTCACCATGGGCGTGGTCTGCAAGCTCCCGCGCGGTGAGCCAGCTCTGTCCCCTGTCCCCACCACCTGCCGGCCTAAGGGGCAGGGCCAGTGGTCCCTCGGAACCTGCTGGGGATGCGGTGTGGGGATGGGAGGACGCCGACCACCAAGCAGGGAGCAACTGGGGCACCCTGCTCCGTGGGAAGGAGTGGTCCTAGGACTTAGCTTCCTTAAGTCTGCGCACAAAGAAGGCTTTGGGGGTGTTGAGGGGGCACCGCGGGGTTCAAGCCCTTGCCGCAGCTCTTGACTGTTTCCCCCTGATCCAGGACTTCAACTCTGGGGAATCAGTTTCCTCTTATGTAAAGTGGGAATAATACCCGGCTCATAGAGCGCTGGTGCGCATGGCATGAGATGGTGACGATGGTGACATTTGAGTCATCCTCATCATCATCTCGGGGACCACATCTGTTCTGAACTCTCCCTTCTCTCTTGCCCACAGTGGAGGAGAGCAGCTTTTCTCCATCCGGTGAGTAAGGGTGCCCTCTCCCCGCCCACCCAGATGAGCCCCCGCTCTTCCCCCATGCTGGGTGGCGGGACAGCCAGGGTAGGCAGCCAGGTCAGCTTTCTGTGTCTCTCCCCCTCCCAATGGGACCCTCCCCGACCCCAGCGGCCTTGCCAGAGAACCCCACAGCCCTGGTGGTGGTGCTGATGGCCGTGCTGCTGCTCCTGGCCCTGCTGACCGCCGCCCTCATCCTCTACCGCCGGCGCCAGAGCATGGAGCGTGGGGCCTTCGAGGGTGCCCGCTATAGCCGCAGCAGCACCGGCCCCGGTGAGGCCACAGAGAAGAACATCCTGGTGTCCGACATGGAAATGAATGAGCAGCAGGAGTAGAGCCAAGGGCATGGATGGGGCAGGGTGGGGGGTGGGTGCAGGAGGAGCTGGCAAGATAGGATTTCCGCCCCCCCAAGTCTGGCTGGGCTGTCAAGGGGGCCCTTGGGAGTCCCTGCTGGGAGCCAGGGCTGGGGGTTCTGTCCTCCATGAGGGCAGAATACAGGGGGCGTTTCTCTGGGGGCCACGGACACGTGGACTGTGCCCTCTGCCCCAATAACCCCAATAACCCTGGGCAGGATGCAGGAGCTGACACCGCCCCATCACCAGGCCAGAGCCCCTACCCCAGGCCGGTTGCCCCTCATAGCCCCGGGTGGCTCTTCTGTCGCATTTCCCCTCCCACGTGGCACCCTCAGCTGTGTACTCCAGCCCTGCGCCCTTGCCCCCTGCTCGCTCAGTCCTTCCTTCGGAGCCTGAGGTTGAGGGAGCCCCCCTTGCTGTTGCTGGAGGCCGATTCAGGGAGCCAGGCGTCCCGCTTCTAGGCCGGCTGTGTTGATCAGAGGGCCCTGAGCAGGTCAGGCCCGAGAACCAGGGCTCCAGTGGGGTATCTGCTGGGCTGGAGGCAGGACTGGGGAGAGACACCCACCCTCCCAAGGGGGGTGGGCTGGGTGTCATCTCCTGCCGGTCAGGGGAGTGCTCGTCCCTGAAAGAGTCCCCTGTGGGGACCAAGGTGAGTCCCCTTCTGTCTCCAACTCCTGGCTCTGGTTTGGCACAAGGGATGGGATGAAGGGAGCTGCCAGCATCATGGGGGCCTGGGGACAGCAGGTACCAGGGGCTGGTTGCAGGTGTCACCCTCTGGTGAGGCCCAGGAGACTGCTCCAGGGGAGAAACTGACCCCGTGTGTCTCTGAGAGCAGGGAACCTGGCTGGGGGGTGGCGTGTGCAGCCGGTCCTGGTGTGGGACAATGTGAACATGGACTCCAAGACATGGTCCCTTTTGTGTAGTTCTTGATTTTTTTTTAAATGTCTCATTATTTTGAAAAAAAAAAAAGAAAATGCAAAAAGAAAAACAAGCAAATAAAACACCTGTAAGAGGCTTGAGAGAAGGGATTCTCATTCCCCTGGGTCCCTGGGGACGCTCTCGCGTGGGAACCCTCTGAATCTGTTCTTCCTTGCCTCTGTCCTGGGGACTGGAGAGTGGGAGCCAGGCCAGCTGCCAAGTGAGTGGGAGAGCCCCACAGGCCCCCAGGGCAGGGTGAAGGGTCCTTGGAGGTTAAGTGAGGTCGTGGAGTGCCTCGCAGCGGGGTGCCCGCTGACAGCTGCTGGTGCTGAGGGTTTCCTTCTTGGAGCTCCCAGGGGAGCATTTGCGGAGCTGGCCCTGGGTCTCCATGTCACTGTCTTTCCAAGATGGCCACCATACCCACCTCTAGCTGCTAGAAAGCTCACCTCTGCTCCTGGGGGACCACGTGGAGGCATGAGCGGGCGTGGCTGGCGGCACCTCAGCTTGTCTGCTAACTGTCCCCAATCCATGCTGAGCTCCCAGAGGACGACTGACCCGGGGCACGGTGCACCTGTCCTGGGTGACAGAGTGTCCCATCACCAAGGCCAGGAGCAGGATGAAGGGAAGTGGGGTATGGAGGAGCAGGTTTGGGGTGCTGGCCGAGTCCCCAGGGCCTGGGTGACTGAGCTGCATGTGGGTATTGTACTTTATGTGCAGTGGGAAGAGCCATGTGGCTGACCTTTCCTGGAGGTCACTGTGGCAGGGATGTGGCAGGGACCGAGGGCAGGATGCGGGAAGCTGCACTTCCTGTGCCAACGTAGGGTGGATTTGCGTCAGGTCAGCAGCAGCCCTCTCACGGTTTTTCTTTGCTGAGCAGGCAGTGCATCACATGGCTCCAAGCCATAGACACGTGAAGCATGGCCTTACTGCCCCTCCCCCCAATCCCTCTACAAGTGACCTGCCCCCTGCCAGTGCGGTTGGCTTGAGGACATGGCAGGGCCGGGGCTCGGCCAGTCACCAGACCCCAGAGTCGGGATGGTGGGTACGCCACAGTCTGCAACAGGAACACTGCTGGGGGCATGGCTTTCCAGCTGCTCTCCAGAGTCCAGGGCTGCAGCCCATCCTGGGGGGCACCCTTCGCCCTCAGTCCTGTACTCTGGGCAGCACCAGGACCCTGTGGAGGGGGCCTGGCCACTCAGGGCAGGGAGTCCGATCTCCAGGAGGTCCTTCATGATGAATCCATGTCATCCACTCGCCATGCCTGTAGCCACTGCTCCCAGGCTGCGTGCGACTCAAGGACCACTTGAGGAGCGTGAGAGGGGGTGCCAAGAGCAGCACATGGGGTGTGAGAAGCAGCTGAGGGGAAGAGGACCCACATGCCCAGAGCTGCCCAGGACTGTGACACATGTACGTCCCCACTGTGCTCTCCGGGGATAGCCGTGTCTCCCGGAAGCTCCACCCGCCATCTGCAGGCAGTGCTGGCCCGGACACCTTTTTTAGCCTCCCTGCTGGTGCCTCTGGCTGCCCAGTGGCAGCTCTGTTGACGCTCCTGCAGGGCTCTGAGGAGCAGGAAGGCGGTACTAGGCTATGCCAGCCCCTATGGCTGCAGCTCACCTTTGCTCTGCTGCGACACAGTTTTCTTGCTTCTTCCGTATTTCACTCATTAAGCAGGAAGTGCCTGTTCTACGTGCCAGCTCTTTGCCGGACGTTGGCGGGCCTGGGCACAGAGCACTGTCTGCCAGGCACTGTGCCTAGCCTGTACTTGGCGAGCCTAGTCCAGCCCAGCGTCAGCCACCTGGCTGGGCAGCGACAGCTCCTTGAGTCCATGAATGAGCAGGGCCGTGGGGCAGCCCCGGGATGGCACCATTCTCGTACTCTCCTCTGGGCCTGCCAGAGATGGCTTCCTCCCAGGTGTCCTGGCAGAATTGGCCGGGTGTAGCGGGTAGCTACATGAAGCCGCAGGGGCCGGGAGCCAGCCAGCCATAGCACATGGCGTTCCTGGAGTCTGGCCAGCATGCCCCGGGCATCAGGCTGGAGTCTGGGCCGACACAAGGCAGAGAGCCACGTCTAGGGGTGGGGACAAGGACGGGTTGGACAGGACCAGCAAAGCCGGACGTGTTCAGGTGTCTGGCTGGGCCCTACTTTGTCCTAGGGGCTGGAGTTACCTTCCAGCGTCACTTCCACCCTTTGGGCGGGGGGGAGCAAATTTTAGGCCTGCCTTGTCCAGAGAGTAAGCAGGATGCTGGGCTAGTTTCTGGCTGTTGGCTCAGAGGCGCCAGGCTATGCACTCAGGAGTGTGGAGCTCCGGCCACCACAGCTGCTAGCCGAGCACCACCCATAGCCACTGCACGGCTCACGTTCCCTGGCCATTCTCCCCTTCCCCTATCCGCTCACCCAGGCTATCCCTCCACCAAGGCTCTGTCCTCACCGTTGCCTCTGCTGCCCACGTGGTCCCTGACATCAGAGCTGCCTGATGGCCTCACTCTGTGTCCCCCTCAGTCTGCAGGGCCTTGGGGGGGCAGGGATTGGAAGCGTGGCTGTGGCTGACAGAGGGACAAACCTCCTGTACCTCCTGCAAGCCATCAGGAGTGTAAGAGCCACCTGCTGGGTTGATTGTAAGGATTCAAAAACACCAAGATGCCAAGATGTTTGTGTGCAGGCCCAGCTCGTGGGAGGTGTCCGGGCTCTCAGCTCCCACTGCGCTGCCGGTGTGTCTTCCCTATGTGTCAGGCCTGTCATCTCAGACCAGTGGGGCTGGAGCCATGGGCATGCTGCAGCTGTCAGTAACACTTTAACATGCAGTGTCTCTTCCTGCACACTTCTCAGGATTGGCTCCTGGACTGGTCTTGAGTCAACCCACACGTTCAGTTAAAACAAACAAACAATAACAACAACAGTGCAATGGTGTAACAGGCTAGTCCTCCACCCTGTGGTGCCAACATCCTATATGGAATCGGTTCATGTCCCGGCTGCTCCACTTCCCTACTTATGACCTGGGAAAGCAACAGAGGATGGCCCAAAGTCTTGGGACCCTGTACCTACATGGGAAACCCAGAAGAAGCTCCTGGCTTCAGGTCAGCTTAGCTCTGGCGTTGGAGGCCATTTGGGGAATGAACTAGTGGATGGAACATGTCTCTCCTCTCTGTAAATTAGACTTTCCAATAAAAATAAAATATTAAACTTTCTACTTAAAAAATAATAAAGAGCTTGGGGCTCTGGGTATTTTGCTATAGCAGGGAGGTATATTCCTTTCCAGTGGCTCCCCAAGGCTCTGCTGACACCAGAGAGGTGCTCCTGTGTGCCTGCCACTCTCCTGTGTGCCACACTCCTGTGTGTCGCCACCATCGGGGTCACTCTAGCTGGGACCTGGCTCCTTTGACGTGGTGGAACGTTAGTCCGCGTCTCATTGTCTGCCATCTCCATCTCTTATTACTCTTGACCTGGTTCCCTCTCTCTCACACACACGCACTTCTTTCACCCCAGGTCCGAACTTGATCTCTGTGCCCTAGGAGGCAGCCAGGAGAGGTGCAGAGTTCACGCACCAGTAGCCCCTAGATGGGTCCTGCTGGAACAGCCAGTGTCGCCCGTGGAGCAGCTTGTCCCGCCCCAGAAACCCGGGGCACACCACTGCAGTGCTGCAGGGGGAGGGGGAGGCAGGGTGGAGAAAGTGCTGCCATCTCCTCCCCACCCCCAAACCCGAGCCACTGCGCCCCCCACCCCCGTCTCTGTCCGAGGAAGGGGAAATGAACAGGAGGTGGGCGTGGGCGCGCATGGGAGAATAACATCGTTTACTAAGTGCGTGGCTGATGTGCTGAGAGCGGACTTGGGGTGTACCCCGGGCCATTGGGCCGAGGGACAGCAGCAGGCAGCCCTGGGAGGGGGGCTGGTGACCCCAGACTGCGAGGTCTGGGTTGCTGTTGCTGCGGGCGCACGCTCCAGGCAGACACCCAAGAGAGCGGCCCAGGCTGAAAGCGGTCACTGAATACATTGGGTTTTGGGGACAGAGGTGGAGGGAGGCAGGCACGGGGAGGCACGCGGGCGGCTCACAGGTCCCCGCAGCAGAGTCCACGGCCGGCTCCCCCGCTAGACGGTGCGGCCTGGAGAGACGCTGCCTTCGCTTTCTTCCTCCAGCTCAGAATCTGGAAGGCGAGAAGACCACAGGCTAGAAATGGCCAGCACTGCTAGATCCTGGCCCAGAGGGTCCAGCATCACTCACTGCCCTTCCTCTTCCTCACATTCCCACTCCTGGGACAAGCTGGTCGCATATGGTGTGGGCGGGTGACACCCACAGTTCACCCCGTGAGTTCCCAGGTAGACCAGGTGGTTGGGCCTTAAGCCAAACTTCCCCTACCCCCCAACACACACACAGCGCTTCCATGTCATGGCAGCATCCTTACCCAGAAAGGAAGAAGGTTTTCAAACTTTGCAGAGAATGTAGTATGCAAGGACTGCGTGCATGGATTTTTTTTTTTTAAGTGGACACCCAAATCAGCTTCTCTTTAGTTCTATTTGTCCCCGTTCTTTCTGAGGACTGGGCTGCAGGTTGAAATGGGGCAGGGGAGTTCACAGGAGCCCTGGGCTGTGTGCATTGATGGGAGGGGGCAGAGTCTGGAGTCTCCCCACCTGAAAACGACTGGTGGTGGTGGTTGCAGGGGAAGCCCAGTGTGGGGGCTCAGCATCAGTCCTGGGGGGGAACTGTTTCTGTCCGCTTGGCTTGAGGTGTGTGCTTCCTGACAATCTGGCATTCCTGACTGCTGACCAGGAGTGCCTGACACTGCCTATGCCACCCTGGCCCCCTCAGCCCTGCCTTTCATCCTCCCGCCCCCGCCCCTCTCCCTTCCCATGCTTCCTCTAAAATCTTGTCATGGTAAGGGTGATGGGGTAGCAGAGGGAGCAGGTGCACCGGTCCAGCCGCTGACCTAATGCCAGGCTTCTGCCCTTACTTGTGTGGGTTCTGTTCCTCTGGTCCTGTCTGCACTGACAGTCACCTGTGCCAGCCGGGAAGCAGCTGTCAGGGTGGCTGGGTCACAGAGCCAGGTGACAGGCTCTTGGGCCTGTGCCAGCACACCAGGAGCCCTCCATCTGCCCTGACCTCAAAACAGGTGTGGGGCTGCGGTTCCCAGGTGCAGGGCAGCCACAGAGCCACAAGGAAGCTACAAGCTCCGGGGGCCACCTGCCACACCCTGAAGTTTTGTTAGCAGGTCATAGGCGTGACTCAGCTCTGGCAGCCACGGCAGTCGCCAGGTGCTGTCGGCCAGGTGAATCATGGCAGGCTGCCGGTGTTGGTGTAAGGGGCGTTGGCAGGAATCCAGGCCGAGCCCCCAGCACCGCACACAGCCCAGGCAGACGAACACCTGGGCCCACCTTTCCCACCACTGGAACCGGGCCAGCAGGGGTGAGATGGATCCTAGAGCTGGTTTCCTCTCTGAAGCAACCCTTGGAGCGATTCATTTTTAAACAGCACCTCTAATCTCCAGAGACCCCAGTCTCCCCCTGCGGCCCCAGTTTGGAGCCCCTTTCTGGGCCTCAAGTCCCTAGGCCTCAGGGTTCTGCGAAGAGTTGCGGGGTGGGGGGGATCCGGGCGGCAGCGGCCCGCACTGGGCACGAGGGGGCGCCCCTGCGCTGCGGAGCCCACCGGGGCGCGCCCGGCGGCCGCAGGTTCTCCCGAAGCCGGAGAGGCGCGGGCACCTCCGGGTGGGGCTGGGGAGGGGGCTCTGAGTGGGGCGCTCGGCTCCCGGAGCCGGGAGTGCCCGGTCCCCGTGGCTCCCTCCTGTCTGGAGCTGCAGGTGTGCAGAGGGGTGGGGGCGCAGAGCGTCCCTCTAAGCCGTGCGTGCCACGGATTCACGCGGAGGCCTCCCCGCGCCTTGGCGGACGCGCGCACAGAGCCCAGGACGCGCGAGTGGCAGCCGCCGCCCGGGCCTAGGCGGGGAGCGAGGGGGCGCCGGGCCCGCAGCAGCCTGGGGGTCATGCCGGGCGCCCCGCGGACGTGCCCGGGGCGGGGGGTGGGTGTGCTTTTGTGAGCGGAAGGAAGAGGCCTCCTTGGGTGTGGAAACACTCTCGCCGCTTCTCGGGCCTCCGTAGCCACACTAGGGGCTTCTCCGGGAGCTGATGGCAGGCTCCATGCCGGGGCGCTCTTGGCGGGCCCAGCATGGTGCCCGTGCAGGTCAGCCTGCTGACCACCAGGGTCCTAGTGGGCGGGAGGGCCCAGGACCCCCAGAGCGCAGTCGCTGGGAGGCACCCTGGCCGGGGCTGGTTGCGCGCTCCGGGAGCCGGCCTGGTCCCTTGCCCCCTCGGTCGCTGCGGCGACCCCTGGGTGCCGCCTGCCGCGCGGGAGCAGTCGGTGCCAACCCTTGGGCTGTCGCGGAGCACAGGTACCCCGGCCAGGCTTCCCATGGCGGAGGAAGCAGGGAGGTAGACGACTGACCTGGAAGGTGTTTGCAGAGAGGCAGGGGTGCTACTTCCGCCCGGGGACCCCTCCTGACCTCTCACAGCCCCTGACCCCGGGGGACCCCTGGACTGCGCTGAGCACAGGGCAAACCCAATAAAGCCACTTTAGGGGCTCCGAGATCAATGTGGTCCCTGGTCCGACACCTGCTTCTGGGCTTTGAAAAGGAAATCCTGGAGGATCCTGGCAGTGAAAAAACTGCAAAGCACCAGGGCGCCCGCCCAGCACATCACTGCCGGGTAGGGGTGGGAGAAGCCCGGACCTGCTGAGACCCGCTGCCCTGCGGAGTGAACCCACGTTCTTCTCTGCCCCCTGGTGCAGCCCACCAGAGCTTGCCTTCTGGGTTGTTGTGGCTGGAGTGGGCCGAACTCCTGGGTTTGGTGGCCGTGGCTCCCTTTCACAGGGTTGGACTCAACTGGCAAGAGTGAGGGCGTGTTTGGTAAGGGGTGGGGGAAGCAACCCTGAGCAAGCCAGCAGGACCTTCCCCCCCAGACCTACTTTCGTCTTCTTCCTGTCTGGGCTGCAGGTAATTTCTTGACAACTGAGAGGAAGAAGACAAGGAGAAGTGAATTGTTTGCCCCGCACAGATGTCTGCTTCCCCAGGGTTGCTAGGAGTCCCTTACACTGCTTGGAGAGGCGCCCAGGCTAGGCTGGGACAGGGCGTGGTCTGGTCCCAAAGACAGCTGCCTGCCGCGGCGATAACCCCAGGTCACCTTTCCCGTGTGTGTGTGTGTGGGGGGGGGGCGCTTCTAAATTTGGCGGCAAGGAACAGATCTGCTTCCTTTCACCGGTTCAGCCATCGATCTGAATGGCAGAATCCCATTCCAAGAGCCCAAGCCTTGCCCTTCCAGGCTCGAGGGGGAGGGGACGGGAAGGGGGTGCTCACGAAGGGCCTGGCTAATTGGCCACTTGCCTGGGCGCTGGCTTTGAAACAATCAGCTGTATTCTCTGCCTAGCAGGAAGCGGCAGCACACCAACCCCCCCTCCAGTCCAGGCCCCTGGCTCGCTCTCTTTGTTCTGACTTTATGGCATTTCGGGCCATGGGGAGGAGAAATGCTGTACCCTGTGGGAGCAATGGCATTGTGCCCAGCCCAGGGGCGTGGGCTCCCCCAGGAAGGAGAGAGACTTTGTGACAGGTCAGGGAACAAACAGAGGGGTCCAGGGCACTGCCACTGAGGCAGCTGCGTGGCTGAGAGGGAGGCTGTTGGTCCCTGCCCCCTCCCCCCCACGTGGGGCTGGGGAAAGGATGGAATTGCATCAATGGTGGCAGGTGCCGGCTACCTGCTAAATTATGCATCAACACTCTGTAGCAGCGGTGCTGCGTCTAGGTTGTGGGTGAGGCCTCCTGTAACTAGGCCTCCACCACCGGGAGCCACCGTCTTGGGGAGGACAGGGCAGTTTCTAATGTCGCCACACCTGGCTTCCTGAGGTGCAGAGGTTTCAGTTTTGCAGCAGTGGTGTGATTGGGAAGGGTCCCGCACCCGAGTGGCCCAGCCAGCTGGAGGGACTACTTCTGAGGTCAGCTGCTGACCCCTCCGCCTTGCCTGGGGTCTCCCCCATGATGGACACCCGGGGCAAAGGAGGACACACCCTCCAGGAAACTCCTGGAATACTTGAAGAGAGACAAGACCCAGGAGGTAGCTCAGGAGAGGGCGCTGAAAGGGAGAGGGGCAGAGAGATAAAGGGCATCCAACGTCATCTTCCCGGCCAGCCTGCTTCCCCTGCAGACCATGGGGCAGGCAAGGAGGGCACAGCGTGTGTCCCTTGTCGGGAAGAGGGCCGGCTCCCTCCGGAACCTGTAAAAAGGGCCACACTGGCATGCACCTGCCTGCCCTGCCCCACCTCCAGCTCATCCTCCACGGGGCACGCTCAGGTCTCAAGTTGCCAGTCTCCTGAGCTGTTGGTTCCAGGCTGAAGCCACTGCAGTGGGGTGGCTTCCGGGACTGTATGTGCATCTTCATGCCCAGTGCCAGTGGAACACCTCTGACCTCCTTAGCTGCCCTTGGCAAGAGTCAATGTTAAGGGCACTGCTTGTGTCCAACTGTGGGCAGCAGCAGCTTCACCCCCAGGTCCCTGAAGCAGTAGGTGGGGAGATGGGGTGTACTACTTGCCTGGGTTGTGTCCCCAAAGGGGCTGGCTGGGGAGACATGGATTGCACCTGCTTTCTCTCTTTGAGACTGTGACTTCCTCACACAGGCAAGGAGTTCTTGAGTTTGTTATTATCTTATTTCTGGACCTAACTTAGAATCCAAAGATCATCACTGAATACATTTGGGAGTGTTCTTTTACCTAGAGTACTCCTCTCTACGGATTCACAGCACCCCTCTCTCTCACACACAGCCTCTTGAATAAATAAAACGAACTTTTTGAAAGCCTAGCATTTTGGAGGAAGGAAGTTCTGATTTGTTAGTTCCTGTGCTTTACAAGTTATGGAGCCACAAAAAAGCAAAAATGTGGCTGTGGGAGTGTAAGGTGCCTTGATGTGCTCGTCTGTTGCACTCAGTTCCAGGCATGGACACAGCGCCCTGTGCTCCATGCATGTGCCGCCTGTTGACTGGCACGAGGTACAAACACTGCAGAACAGCTTTTAGGTAAGAAGGCATTCTCTAGGGCCCGGCGCGAGAGCGTAGTGGTTAAAGTCCTCGCCTTACTGCCGGACTCAGAACCCCAGCCATGAAGAGAAGTGCGGGTTCCATGGTCTGCCATGGAGTGCAAATGCCAGAGCCGAGCCTCCTCAGAGGGCTCAGACGGAGCAGTGGACAGCAATCAGGTGTGCATGGAGGACATGGCAGTCGATGGGAACCTGCAGAGGATACTTGGCACCACCACAGAGGACAGAACTAATCAATCAATCACCCCAGCCGGATGTTGGCAGTGAAAAACTAGGCAAACGGACTCTATGATGGACTGTGTCAATCAGTGGAATCTGCAACAACTTCATCGTGCTTGGAATGGCGTGGTTGGCAGCAATGCAGAACTGCGGAGCTCTCAAAACCACTTGAGCAAGATCCTCGGAACACGCCCCACATCCGGGACCTGGGATGGGTTGGAGGTTGGGTGGGGCTTCTCCCTTTATCTCCCCCTTTACCCCAGATACAGGAAAAAAGCAATGTGGAAAGTCTTACCCACTTTCCAGTAGCCCTTGAACCTTTGTGCCCTAATTAACCATGTAAAGATTGTCAAAAATAAAGGAAAAAAAAAAAAAAAAACTCCTTGCCTTGAATGCGCTAGGATCCCGTGTGGTTGCCTGTTCTAATCCCGGCTTCCCATCCAGCTCCCTGCCTGTGGCCTGGGAAAGCAGTGGAGGACGACCCAAAGCCTTGAGACCCTGCACCCGCGTGGGAGATCCAGAAGCTCCTGGTTCCTGGCTTTGGATTGGCTCAGCTCCAGCCGTTGTGGCTGCTTAGGGAGTGAACCATTGGATGGAAGATCTTCCTCTCTGTCTCTCCTTCTCTCTGTGTATCTAACTTTCCAATAAAAATAAATAAATCTAAAAAAAAAAAAAAGAAGAAGAAGAAGAAGGCGGTGGCATTTCCTGGGCACTGTGGGAAACCAAAAAGATAAGGGTTCCACTCTCAGGTTATTACTAATGAATGCCCTGCCCCCTGCCCTGTGTAGACCGTTTCCTTTCTTGGTGGTCATTTGATCCCTCTCTAGCCGCTCGATGCCCTTGGCATCCATGGTGCTGAGGGCATCGCAGGCAGTCCACAGTGACTCACGGGCATCAGCATCATCAGAGACAGGGGCGGGGGTGGGCAGGAAGCCCCTTTGCCTTGCCAGAGCCCACACCTCTCTGGAGAGGGGCAAGTGTGTCCACGGGGCCACTCAAGATCTCAGGAAGACTTTGTGCTGTCAATTTCACGGAACCCGAAAGGTGCCCTGGGTCCTACGGTCCTGCTCAGGGGCTGCTCCCCAGCGTTTTCCGACTTTACGAGTGTGTCTTGTCTCCCAGTTTGATCGTAAGCTCCTTCACGTGAGGGCTGTTGTGCTGTCACTGGGTAGCCACTTCACCTCCTCCCTGTTCTCCTGATGAGAGCCCAGCGTGGATGAATTCTGATTCTTGAGAGTGAAAGCTGAAGGAGGAAGGGTTCTCTTCCAACTTGGAATCTCTGTGTAACTCAGAGCTACCCTCGGACTGAGTACTTTCGATCTGAAAGCCCCAACAGGCCAATCCAGAAGAGTATGAGTTTGAAAAACAGCCATCGAGCTCCTGTTTTCTGCTGAGTGTCCCTGTGCCTGCCAGTCGATGGCTGGGTCGTTCACCTGCCTGAGCTGTAATCCAAGAATTCCCAAATTAGATGTCAACTGGTGCTAAAGGAGGTCTCGCCCTCCATCACTGCGTCTCTCCATCCTGGCTCCTGACTCAGTCCTGCTCTAACTCACTTTTTCTTTGGGACAGTTTTTTTTTTTTTTTTTCTTCCAGAAGCTTCCTGAAAGTCAGTGCACTAGGCCCTTGGCTTCCAGCCATTGGGCTTTGTTTGTCATGATCTTGTGTGGCTTTACAGTGGCTGGTGGCTAAAGCCGCTCACGGTAGCTTCCTGATGTTGAGGACTCTGTGACCTATGTCAATCCTGGGTGCTTTGAAGTTCAACATGCAATAAAAGCTCATTTAAAAAAATGTGGAATCAGGAAAATGAGGTTACAGAAATGTGAACACAGGAACATTTCCTGCTTCCTGTACTTTCCTTTTCTTTGTTTTCTTTCTTTTTTTTTTTTTTTTTCCCAAAAAATGTATGTCTCTTGGGGATTTATGTCACCGTTAAAACCATAGAGGAGTTAAAGGAAAGACAGGCTTGGGTCAAAAAGAGGGTGAGATTGCTGTGGAGTGATCTTGCCAGAGACCCAGCCTGCGCTCCCCATCAAAAGCTCAGGGTAGAGGAGGGAGGATTCTAAGCCCCAAACGTATGAGGGCAGAGGTGGAGAAATGTTTAATTCTTATGACCAATGGTTTGAGCCTATTAACCTTAGAACTGACTCTCACTGCACCATAATAGCTGTGGTTGTGTGGGCTCTGGGAGAATGCGAGAAGCCTCATTACTGGGATCCAACCTCCAGGTGCTGGCAGGTGCTTCTAGTTGTGCAAGAAGAAAAGGAGAAGGAGGAAGCAGAGGAGAGGCAGGCACAGTGTCACTGGAACCGCCTCGCGGCATCATCCTTGGCTTGTCTGCTACCACAGCGACTCCCTCTTTAGTCGTCACCTTCTGATTGGAGTAGGGGTCACAAGGTGAGCCTCGAGGGGGCATTCCGGGGCTGCACACCATGGAAAATGCCATCTATCCCCGCGAGGACCAGGATGGTACAAGTCCCTGAGTCCACACACTGCTCCGGCCTGGTCCGGCCGCAGGAGCCGTCTGATGAAAACAAAGACCCTTGGGGACCCAAGTGCTGCTTGACAATGACCATGCATCCTGGGATGCCTCAGAGATCTGCCCGTCCTTGTGGATGCTGAGGTCAAGCTGCAGTTCCTAGCAGGGCTCGGCAGAACCCTTCATACCATGTGGCCCCTGGAGGGTCCAGGCCTCTAGCTGAAGGCAGGGCAGCTGTTGGGGAGGGGTCATTTGTGCTGAACACGTGGTCACCTGTCCACTGACAGATGGAACCACCCTCAGCTTTTGCGCACACCACAGCAGGTGCACACATCCACACGCATGCACACGCACTCCCCGCCCCCACACATGGGCTCGTATAAGGTAGCCCGGGATCTATAGCGCACCAGGCAGGAGGCTCCCCTGTGGTTTGTTTGCTTTGTAAACACTTCTCCCATAGGTGTTCAAGGCCCTTCTTTCCCTGGTCCTCCTTGCTCAGACAGTGGGCATGCCCACTTGAAATACTCCAGCCTTCTTGCTGGCCTCCATTTTGGGGTGGGGTGGGGCAGATCTCTCTAGAGTCACTTACATGACTTCCTGATTACAGCTCACACCTGACAGCCAGCAGCCACGTGACTGTAACTGGATGCCTCAGCCGTGGAGCCATTGAGAAGCTAGTTACCCACCCACGGTCCTGACAGCGACACAACGAGGACCTCAGCACACCCACACCGCCTGCCTGGCACTCCTGCTGCAAGGCTGAGGCGCACCGTGCCCAGCCCATGTGGGTTGCCTTACCCTCTCTCGTGTGATCCAGTTGTAATTGAGTCTCATGATTTCTGCAAACCTCTGCTCATAGAAGTGTAGCAGCAGTACCAGGTACAGGCTTGAGTTGATCAGCTCGTTTTGGGCCTAAACATGGAGAAGGAAGCTCTTAAGTCTGGCCTTGTTCGGAATCACAACACAGGGAGGGCAACTGGCATAAGTGGTGACAGAAAATGGGACAGAAGCCCAAGTTCCAACTCCAGGGCTGCCCCTGGGCATCAGGGGACAGGACAGGAGGAGGTCCAGGTGAGGCCAAACCCACAGCTTCCTGCAGTTTGTTCCTGTTTTGTTTTGATTATTTGAGAGGCAGACAGCAAGTGAGTGAGACCTAACTTCCATCTGCTGGTTTATTACCCAGATGTCAGGCAGGGGGCTAAAGCTGGGATCCGGGATTTCAACCCAGGGTCTCCCACATGGGTGCCAGGGACCTATCTACTGAGTCATCATAGCTGCCTCTCAGGGCACCCAGCAGCAGGAAACTGGAGTCATGAGCCGGAGCTGGAGGCGGGACCCAGGGGCCTGATGGTGAGATGCAGTTGTCTTGATTACAAGGCTGGATGCCTGCTGTCTCCCTGCAATCTTTTAGTGTCTGTAGAGGATGTGCTGGGAAAGGGCTGTTTGCTGGAGCCAGCACCATGGCACGGTAGGTTGAGTCTCAGCTTGCATTGCCAGCATCCCATATGAATGCTGGTTCGAGTCCTAGCTGCCCTACTTTGGATCCAGCTCCCTGCTTATGGCCTGGGAAAGTAGTGGAGGACGGCCCAAGTCCTGGGGATCCTGCACCCATGTGGGAGATCTGGAAGAAGCTCTTGGTTTCAGACGATCCCAGTTCTGGCTGTTGCAACTATTTGGGAAGTGAACCAGTGGTTGTGCAAAGCCCAGGGCCCGGGAAGCTTGCTGCTGACTCCCGGGATGCTAGATGGTGAACAGGAAACAGATGAAGGCACGCCTCTGTGAAACATGTGGGACACAGCACTGTGGGGGTGCTTTGTTCTCCTAGATCCCCCTTTGCCTAAAGGGTTGTGACCTTCGTTCTGGACATTTCTCCCACTAGCTGGACTTGCAAGTGGCCTTGCCTAAGGCTCCTGCTGTTGGTCGCTGCCATGTCACCTCCAGAGAGTGCCTGCCAGGCCTTTGCCGCTGTCCGGCCTCTGCTGTCGGCTGGCTGCAGGCATCCGTCTTGCGTGCTCTCTCACCCCTTTCTCCCTGGCCTTGCCACCAGGCTGTGTGTGTCCATGACTTCTTCCTGGCTGTCACAAGTGACACCTCTTGTGAAAGCCTTCCAGTGGCCTTGCCTTTGTCATGGACCTTCCTGTTCTGCTTGGAATCCCAGCATCTGCCTTTGTTTTGCACACCACGCCTCACACCTGTTCATGTTCCCTGCCTTTGTCTTGGGCGTAGGCTGTTTTTTCTTCTTTGCTGCTGCGATGTGGGGGCGGGATGGACCTCTGGCCATCTGACTGGCCACAGTGCCTCTGTCCTCCCTCTTAGGCCCCCGTGTAGACCTTCAGTCAACTGGCAGCAGAGGGAAGGGGAAAGCCCTTTGGCCTTGAGAATGGGCCAGGCTGTGAGCAGGCAGCCCCCATGTCCAGGGGTGGTGGCTAAAGGTCCAGCAGAGGGCAACGCCTTCCACCTCACCCCAGGGCCAGCTCAGCCTGTGACTGCCTGCCCAGGATGATGGCGGCTATTCTGTACTGACCATGGTAGCTCCTCTTCCTTCCCCTTCCTGCACAGGCCACCGCGGGCCTTCCGGGGCTCCCTTCTTTGTCCCCCAGCACGGGCAGGTGGCCTGGAAGAACCGCCCTTCCCAGGAAGGGCGAGGGACCGGTCAGGAGCGAAGGGTCATGTCAGGGCCAACTCCGGATCCTGGCCCTCCAGACCCATCCCGTCCTTGGCGCCTCGCCTCCTGGTTTTAGCCTTCGGCTGTCTTCTTTCCTGTGTTCTGCCGACCTTGGCCTAGAGCAGGCAGAGGGCAAGCTGCTTGTTCTTGCTTCTGTTTGAAGTGCCTCCTCCCTACATAGCAACCCAAGTCTGGGTGCCTGCTGCCTCCTTAAGGGACTGTGCCTCCAGGCCCACTCAGCCAAGCTACCTCCTCCAGGAAGCCCTCCTAACCGGCCTGTCTCCTGGCCGCCCCTCGTTCCCGCTGTAGCCGTTTCTCTGCCAAGAGCCCTGGTCCGCATCATAGCAAATGACTCGGCTTTTGTCCGGGCATCGGGGGAAGTCATTCACTTTGGATGACTCCATAAGGCTGGAGGCACGCGGGCAGGCAAACAGCCACTAATGTTTTCCGCAGATAATTTGAAAAGTCGCTGCTAGCAGATTGTGTCTCTTTTCTGGTCTGTGGGAGGAAAGCGGTCAAGGCGATGCTATAAATCTCCGTGCCCCTGGCCTTGGCTGAGCTCCAGACACTCCAGGCAGCGGTTGGAGCGGGCCCTTGCTTGGCCACTTGAAGTAGGGACTGACCAAGGGAGGGAATGCCACAGATGTTGTCCAGCGAGGGTTGAATCTGGAACATTCCTTAGTTAGAGGGCCGGCTCCTGGCCCAATCACATCCCATTCTGAATCCCCTTTGTGCGTGAGAAGGGAGTGCGGGTTGAAGGAAGGGATAGCGGGACACTTGGTGAGGAGGCCGCTATGGGTGACGTCTCCCGAGAGTCCTGACCACTGGCCTGCCAACCGTCTTCATCTCCTCCAGCTTCCCACATGTGTCTTGCTATTCATCTTAGCCCAGAGACTCGCTGCTGCTTGGAATTCTCAACATGGGAGAATGCACCTGAAGGAACTATCCGCGCGCCTGAAGGCTCAGTGTTGGGATTTGTGGGAGTGTTGGAGAGCTGCTTCCGGGGCTCAGGTCGATCAGATGCCTCTGTGCAGCTGCAGATGGAGCAGGGCCAGGCCAGTGCCTTGGGGCAGTGATGGCCAGTGGCTGGCGGAGAACACCCCCAGGACGCCAGGGGCACTTCTCCAGCACGTACCCCTAGGGGGCAGCACCCTGCATGCAGAGTGTTGGCGGGTGAGCTGGGGAGCCCTGAGATAGTGAACTACTCAGGGCCGGAGAGATTGCGTGTCAGCCGGGAGAAGTGGCCACTGCAGTGAGCTGCTTCTGGTGGCTGGGGAAATTTTGTGTTCAATGAAAGTTAAGGGAGGCAGGATCCAGGAGAGCTGCCTGCGTGGCCCACGTCTGCTTGCCTCTTGTAACGCCAGTGCCTCGCCCATAGCCTGGTGTACAATTAACACACCCGGATGGAAAAAAAAAAAAAACAGAAAAAAAATATGATTTTGCATCAGTTTAGCCATGCTTGTAAACATACATGTCTATTCATTGGAAAGGTTTCATGAGAGTTGAGCGAGCAACAGCTCTCCATTTGCTGGTCCCAATGGTTGCAACAGCCAGAGCCGGGTCAGGCTGAGCCCAAGCTGGGAGCAGGAAGTCTCCCCTCCTCCTGCATGTGAGGGGTCACTATTTGCTACCATCCCAGGTGCATTTGCAGGGAGCTCCATTGGGAAGGGAGCAGGGGACCCAGTACTCGGGCCATCTTCCACTGCTTTCCCAGGCCGTCCAGCAGGGAGCTGGGTTGGAAGTGGCACAGCTAGGTCTGGAATTAGGACCTGTATAGGGTGGGTCCACACTGCTGATCTGTGGACATGTGCTCAAGAGCAGTGTGGGGAATGCCAGCCCCCCAGCCTTGTATAAAGCCTGGGACGTCATTTGGTCTGGCCCTGCCCCGACAATTGCAGAGTGGACTTGCAATTCGAGGAATCAGTAGGATAATTTTTACATTGATCATTTCAGATGGCCCGTGAGTGATTATAAATATCCAAATGGCCTTTGGCAGGGCAGTGGCTCCCAGCTCTGTGCTAGGAAACTGGACAGGCTCCATCTGCTGAAACATACTGCTTCTTGAAATGGGCCTGCCTGCCCCTGGCTGGCACCAAGACCCTGTCAGGCTCTCACAGGCCTGCTTCTTTTCAAGATTCTCATTCCAAACTGCTCGGCATCCAAGAATGTGAGCTGCTGCTCTGTTTCCTGTCTCATATCTTGCTGCCAGGGCCGATGACTGATGTGAAACTGACTTTTGTTCTCAAGAAATCCCTGCCCGTCTTCGTCCCTCCTCTTCCTCTCCTTTGCTTTCTCCAAGCTCCCGATGCCCACGCTCTGTGATGTTAGCATGCTGTTACACCCATTCTATCAACTTCATTGATTGAGATCTTCAATTATCCTTCATTCTTATCAAGGTTGTCTTCTGCTGTCTAGCACCTTCGGGTCTTACATGTCTAAATTTAAATTATTTGCTTTATTTGTTTTATTTGTCGGAGAGGCAGAGAGACAGAGAGCTTCCATCTGTTGCGGTTCACTGCAGGGCTGGGCTCAGCCAAAACCACAAGCCTGAAATCTCATCTGGGTCTCTTACGCGGGCACCAGGGCCCTGGCTACCTGTGTGTCCCAGGTGGCGGTCTGCCCTGCTGAGCTTGCCTGATTTCCAAGGAGAGTGTAGATGCAACTTTACCTTTGCTCGTATATAGGGAAGGCACATTTCTGTCTGGTTTTTGCTGGTTTTTTGAAAAAGATTTATTTATTTTTATTGAAAGTAAGATACAGAGAGGAGGAGAGACAGGAAGATCTTCCATCTCTGACTTACTCCCCAAGTGACTGCAATGACCAGAGCTGAGCCGGTCTGAAGCCAGGAGCTAGGAACTTCTTTCAGGTCTCCAACATGGATGCAGGATCCCAAGGCTTTGGGCTGTCCTCGACTGCTTTCCCAGGCCACAAGCAGGGAGCTGGGTGGGAAGTGAACTGGGATCCATATGGGATCCCAACGCATCCAAGGCAAGGACTTTAGCCACTAGAATATTGCGCTGGACCCTCTGCCAGATTTTTTTTCATCATCTTCATTTTTTTTCTCATTTTATTTTAAATACAATATGCCATGGTGTGATTTTTAAAATTTGTTTTTTTTGTTTTTCGTTATTTGTTTTGCTTGCTGTTTTCTGAACTTGGGTTTATAATTGGATAGAAATTCGAAGCCAATGCTTTCAATCTATCTTCTGTATTTTCTCTTTATCTTTTTCCTCTAATATTCCCAGCACACTTGTTTAACCTTTTGGGTGGTTGTGCCACAGTTCCTGGATATTCATCCATCCTTCCTTCCTCCCTCCCTCCCTTCCTTCCTTCTTTCTTTCCTTCCTTCCTTCCTTCCTTCCTTCCTTCCTTCCTTCCTTCCTTCCTTCCTTCCTTCCTTCCTCCCTCTTCCCCATTCTTTTCCTACACATTTGCTTTGTACTTTTTGGCAGGTAAAATATTCTTACACTTAGAATTGCTTTCCTCAGTGGTGTTGATCTAAATAAAGCCCATCAAAACCATTCTTCATTTCTGGCCTGTGAAAGCCAGGGGCCAGGAACTCTACCCGGGTCTCCCAAGTGGACCCAAGTACAAGAGCCATCATCCTCCATCTCCCAGGACGCCCATTCATGGGAAACTGGCTGAGAGGCAGAGGCACGACTGGAACCCTGGTACTCCGATATGGGATGCCTCACCCACAGTGCCACAGTCCAACCCCACCTGTCTGTTGTTGCATGCTCTGTACTCTAACCTCTGGGGTTCTTAGCATATTAATTGGATTTGGTTTACATTGCTGGCATGTTAATAACAAACCTTTCTGCCAAATCTTGAGTCTGGTTCTCTGGTTCTGATTGATGCTTGGTGTGGTTTCTTACTTTTTAGTATGCCTTTTTTTTTTTTAAAATGATGGCTGGACTTGAGGTGTCCCTGGTACTGCCAGTCAGCCTCTAGTACTGTGGTGGTGAGGGCTGGAGTGGAGGAGCATCGTGTGGCCATCAGGCATAGTGACTTTGTGCCTTTGGACTTGACCTTCTTACATGCTCCTGGTCCCCACGCTAGGTGGCTGAGTGCGGGGGCTGAAGTTGGTATGTCCCTTCTCCCACTCACAGATAAACCTCAGCAAGTTAGCAAGTCCCAACGCCCTCCTCTCGCCTCAAGGAGCAAGGGCTTGTTTGGAACCCGCCCTCGCCATAGGAACCTGGAGAGAAAACTCACTTATGTATGGTGATGGCATTTGGGTTCCTCCCCTAGGCTGGTTCTAGCCTCCCCAGGCACAGCGGGACCCCCTCGAACTGCCCCCTGCCTGTCACACTGTGAGTACAGCAGCCTGTCCCCAGCGGCCAGTGGCCTTTTTGCTTTGTCCAGCTTTTTCCCGCTTGGTGGGGGGAGGGGTGGTGACCTCCCAGCTCCTCCCATGTGCAACTGGAAAGTGTTTTGAATGTTTGGGACGCAGATGTATTTACATAGAATTATGGGAGAGCTTATACTTTTCAGAATATGAGCCGGGGACTAAGTCGATGAAATCCTGTGCTTTTCATAACCAGCGTACCTGAATTTAACCTTACCTCCTGCTCATCAGTGCCGTGTGGACCAAGGCTTCTACACTGGTAGCGTAATTCTAAAAGAGAGTTTCTGTTGGTTTGAGATCCGGGTGATTAGTCTTACCTCGGGCATCAGTCACATTTAAGAGGCCAGCTAATCCGTTCACAGCCCTGGCAATTCATTCTCTAGGTGTGAGCGAACACAGCATCTACTGCATGTTTAGGGTCACTTGATGTTTGAACTGGGCACCTCTCCTTGCAAGATCCTGAAGTACTGTCTCCTGTTGCTCTTAAACTTCAGTTAACTCAGACTCGGCCATTTCTGCAACCAGTCACTGATGTTTTCTGCTTTTGTCCCTAACATCAGAAGTCTCAATCCAGGACAAGCAAGACTATCCGGGAATGGCACTGTGGCTCAACAGGCTAAGCCTCTACCTACAAGCGCTGTTATCCACATGGGCACTGGTTCATGTCCCGGCTGTTCCACTTTCCATCCAGTTCTCTGTTTATGGCCTGAGAAAGCAGTAGAGGATGGCCCAAAGCCTTGGGACCCTGCACCCATATGCGGGACCTCAGAAGAAGCTCCTGGCTTCAGATTGGCTCAGCTCCGGCCATTGTGGCCACTTGGGAAGCGAACCAACAGATGGAAGATCTTTCTCTGTCTCTTCTTCTCTGTCGGTAAATCTGCAAATCTGTCTTTCCAATGAATAAATCTTGAAAAAAAAAATCTTTCCAGCTCTCTGAGCCCCTGAGGTTAGTGTCAGATCATCTTGTGGGAGGTGAGCTGAGTGGACACCCGCAGGCCTTCCCATTGGCACGTGTCCACACTCCTCAGATTGCAGAGAACCTGTTTCTCCTGGCCATGCACTCAGCTTTGGCCTATAGGGGCAGGGGGCTGTGGATGCATCTTACCCGGATTTGCTGGTGCTTCTGGTAGAACTCAGTCATGTTAAAGACAGCCAGGTCGACCAGCAGGTCCTGCTTACACATCTCACAGGTGTTCACAGCTTCTCGATTTGCTCCTTGAATCAAAGAAATACGGGTTGTAAGTGGAGCTTGAGTGTTCTCAGCGCGCACACACACACACACACACACACACAATTATATGTTACGTATAGCCCAGTGTCTATTTGTGCTGGCACTTTGGGGAGGTGATATTTTGAGAGTGAACTTGTGCCATTCTGAACCTCAGTGGCTTGCACGTAAGGCCAGTCATCTGCTGGCGGAAAACGACCTTGAGTCTGAGATCTGAAAAACTTCCTTTGTAATTGTTATGCCAGCCCCCTAGGAGTGACATTCCCATGCCTTCGAAATAACAGGTCTTGCTTTCTATTTAAATATAAACATAACGGTTCATCAAGTTGGAATGTTAACCTTCAGAAGGCTTGGTGTTTGTCCCACAGGTGTTTGTGACAAACAGTAACTATGGGGTCCGTTGGTCTTCTCTACATTTTTCCTCATAGTTCTAACAAAGGACCAGGTAGCTACATTCGTGAGGACTAGACGAATGGCAGACTCTGCCCTCTGTCTTTAAATAAGATCTGCCCTCTTTCTGCTCAGCAGACATTCCCAGGCGAGAGAAGTGAGGGAGCCGCACCGGGGTGGACTGGTAACGGTCAGCTGAGACAGGGCTTCAGCCGGGCTTGGCCTCTTCGGGGCAAGCAAGCAGGAAAAGAAGGCTGCCTTGTTTTTGTCTTTTAAAGACATGCATCCTAGATCAGCATTTCCCTCTATATTTATCTTAGTCCCCAATAGCAAAACTGTGGCTAGCATGCCTAAGCAAAACATGCCCCTCGTTCCCCCTGCTGCACTGGCCGCGTTCTAACCCATGAGGTGCTGATGTTTCTTCAGGAATAGAGGACTTGTTAGCTAATTTAGCAAGAGTTTTACTTTAGTTTCATCTCTCCACTGGGTGTATAAAGAAACAGTGAATGTGGGGCCGGCACAGTGATGTAGCAAGTTAAGCTTCCACCTGCGTCTCCCAGCATCCTGTATGGGCAACGGTTCAAGTCCTGTCTGCTCCACTTCCCATTCAGTTCCCTATTGTGGCCTGGGAAAGCAGTGGAGGATGGCTCAAAGTCTTGGGACCTGCACCAGCATGGCAGACCCGGAACGAGCTCCTGGCTTCAGATGGGCCCAGCTCTAGCAGTCACAGCCATTTGGGGAATGAGCCAGCAGATGGAAGATCTCTCTCTGTAATTCTGACTTTCGAATAAAATAAATAATTTTTTTTTTTTTTTTTTAGTAACTAGTAGAGATGTTTAAAGGGCAAGGATGAACAGCAGTTCCCAACTTGCCTGTCTTGCCCGCTTTTCCTTTGTTAGCACCATGCTCCGATGCTTTCGGTTCCTGAATGCCCCGTGTGCCTTCCGACCCAGTTCTACAGAGCATACCCAGACTGGCATTGGCATTTGCAAGCATCTGGCATCATTTCATGCCACATTTCTTGCTTAGTGTTTTCTGACCTTGATGCTTAACCAGTCCCACTTCCCAGCCAGCCAGAGAGCGTCAGATGTTACAGTTATTAGTAATCCGAATCCTGCTCGTTTCCGTGCTGGAGCGAGTGCCGCGCTGCTGGTTGTGTGGGTGCGCACTAAGTGAGCTGGGCAGTGGTCGGGGAGGTCTCGGGCAGAGCTGCACAGGGCAGCAGAGCATCCTGGCCTTGCCCAGCAGCCTGGGTGGTGCTTCATGCAGGCCTCGGGGGAGTGCAGAGGCTGCTGTGGCGGGTCAGGCGCCAGGGCTCCCAGGAGGAGAACGGGCGGCAGAGAACAGACACCTGGGCATCGATGTCCACAGGGTTTTGCTGGAGCTGCTGTGGATGCTAAAGTTGGGATTTAAGGACACCTTGCATTTTCTGCCAAGAAGCCCGGAGTCCACGGAGGGGCGTGGCTGGGTTTGGACTGTAGCCTCCCCAGGGAGCTGAGGGGGGCTCTACCCTCCAGGTGCGGCCCCTTCAGGTGCAGGTCTGTTAAGGAGCTCACTCCGTGACTGGGAGCATGGAAAGCTTTGTGCCTAACAAAGTTTCTTTTCAATTACCCATCGCCTCCCAAAAGGTGTGTGTCTGGGGTGGTTTGGTGGGGTGCCTACCAGCTACTGTGTGCTGGCTGAACTTCAGCCGCCCACCTGCTTTTTGCATGTCCTTCCTCCTGGAGGGGTAGGGCGGGGGGCACCTTTGCCTGTCTGCAGGAGGAGGATTTGATAGCAAATGTTTCCAGAATTCTTCTGGAATCCACTTCCCACCCACAGCATGAGGACAGGGACTGTGAGCTGGCGTTCTGAGCACGCCCCATGCTCCTTCCTTCCTCCCTGTCTCCTCTTCCCCCACAAAGAGAGCGAGTCACAGATAAGGCTGTGGCCGGCCTTACCCCTTGGGGGTCTCAGACCAAAGACACTCCTCCCTCCAGCCCCACCTACCTGACGTGATTTTCACTTTCAGCCACTTTTTCAGGCACTCCTGGTGAACAAATCGCAGGCTCCCCACGCAGCCGCAGGGCTGCAGCAGCGGGTTGGTGGGGGAGCTCCCAGCCATTTGACAGATGCGACACAAGTCTCCCTCCTCCTCTGAGTCCTCCTCCAGGAGACTAAAGGGACAGAAGCCAAGTGTTTACAACTAGGGGTCTTGCTGTGGGCAGTTGCCACAAATGCCACATCCCTAGGGGTTGGGGGGTTGGAGGAAGAAGGGTAGTCCTATCACCCTGCTCCGTTTAGGACTTTGGGGTGCACCCCCATGCCCCTGGCCCTGCTGAGTGTCCCTCCAGGTGTGGCTGATAGTGATGGAGCTGACAGTTGCAGATATAAGGATGTTTCAGAAAGCTTAGGGAAAGTGTAATTTAAAGGTAAGTTTTTTCAAGGCCAGTGTGCTGGTGCACAGTAATCCACAGTCCTGTGGAGCCAGCATTCCGTAAGGGCGCTGGTTCGTGTCCCGACTGCTCCACTTCCCATCCAGCTCCCTGCTTGTGGACTGGGAAAGCAGTCGAGGACGGCCCAAAGCCTTGGGGCCCTGCACCCGTGTGGGAGAGCTGGAAGAAGCCCTTGGTTCCTGGCTTCACTCCAGCTATTGCAGCCATCCAAGGAGTGAACCAGTGAATGAATGATCTCTCTCTCTCTCTCTCCACCTCTCTGTAACTCTGCCTCTCAAATAAAGTAAATAAATCTTTTATTTTCTAACAGAAGGAGCACAAGCTTAGTTTCTGGAGAGATCATCATCCCTAAGACACGTTTGTTGGGAAGGGGCAGGGCTGTGGTGACCCGTGATGCACACGAAGAATAACAAGAATATTTTCAACACAAAGACTTCAGTTCCTTCCCGCGCACTTTCCACACATTCATAAATAACCCAGAAGAACATGTCCAGTGGAGGACACAGCCCCTCGGATGAACACGGCAGGCAGAGCTCTGCAGGTTGGCACAAGGGGGCAGGGAAATGGCACAGGCATCTGAATTTAGGCAAGCACACGGCAGCGCATTTGTAACCAAGTGAGCGGTTTCCAAATAAGAAATGACCATCAGGCTCATCTGTCGGAACTTGAAAAAACAGATGCCTGGGCACCACGTGCAGAGGTTTGATAGCTGGGCTGGGACTCCAGAATGTAAACAGCATGGTCAAGGACTCTGGGAGGATTATTTTCTTATGCTGTTTATAAATATCTGACTCCTAATTTATATCTCTCCATCTTTTCAAAGGCATTAGTGGGAATACACAGGCTGCTGGAATTTTGAAATTTTTTTTTTTTTGCAAATTAAAGAGAAATTTATATGCTACACAGTCACTTCCAGATTTCACATTGCTGTTATTGAACTATAAGAGGAGTTAGAGAGAGCAAGGGAAACGTGCCTTTCTCCCACCCCTCCCATGTGCTCTCTGAAAGACACCCAAGCGTGCTCTATAGACCAAACCTCTAATAGCATCGGAAGTGACCAGAAGTCCTGGGCAGTGGTGCAGAGAGGACCACCTGGACAAGCAGAGGATGGGACAGGGTATGGAACAGGTGCGGGCTGGGACAGGGCTGTCAGAAAGGTCAGTGGCTCCAGTGACCAGCGATCCAGGCGCCAGTGGTCACTGCCGTCCAGGACCCTGAGCCCCGACCAGTGCCTGCGTCTCTCCTCAGGTGAACACCCTGAGAGTTGCACATTAAAGAAAGGGAACTCTCCAGAAAGTCCCAAGTTTATAAACAACTTCCCGGGTATCCCCCATTGACCTCAAATGTGCTAATTTAGAGTAGGGACTGGCAGATGATTGCCAGGGGCAACCACAGTGGCAACACAGCACCACTGAACCCCAGTCCACTCATGTTCCAAACCACCGGGTCTGGCATAGCCTCAGCGGCCACTAAGAGCAGCAATGGGAGGCAACGAGAAAAAGAAGTCAGCTTGCCCCCTAGTCCATGGGTACTGCCAAGTACGGACGAAGAGATGCCACCTGCCAGCCTAAACAGTATCCCAGGGACAGTTTCCTGCGCATCCCAGAGGCCTGTGGCAAGACTGTCCTTCCCTTGCAGAAGATTGACAATCAAATGGCCATCCAGCAGGAGGATGGCTACTCGTGGCCTGTTCACACCTTTCTCTTTTTTTCAAGTAGTGAAAATGAACCAAGTCAAAGACGTGGAAGATTCATTTCCCAGATGTCGTAGAGGAGGGACAACAAGTCACGGAGCAGAAATTCCTTCCCTATAGAGTCCAAGCACAACACCAAGTTGGCTGAGAGGTTGAAAAATAGACACAACGTCTTGTTTGGAAATACGTGGAGTGAGTGTAAAGCAGGAGGGAACCGGAAGCAGGAGGGCGAGGAACAGGACGAACTCTCCCCGTAGGGATGGAGCGGGAGGAGTTGGCGAGGGCTCTGAGTGGCAGAAGCTTGTCAGCGAGGCCTGGGAGCTTTTACTCTAGGGGTGTGTGTGTGTGTGTGTGGACAATGTTATAGATAATGTCTTATAACGCCTTATAGACAATGTGAACCAAGGCTTACTAAAAAAATAAAAATCGCCTTCATATGCAAAGATCAAAGATGACAAAGTAATTTTTCTCTTTCAGTCTACATTTTTAATTTTTCCTAAAGATAAATATTTTTGAAATAGGACAAGCTGAATGTTCATTAGATACAGGAAAGAGGGCATCTGCTAAGCTAAATCGGCCGTTCTGTGCACCTCAAAGGGGGTGCACTTTGTAAGACATTGCTTTTAGCTTGCAGGTACCACCTCGGGATGGCAGAAGTTCACACTCCAATTGGGAGGTCGGAAGCCGTCTTTTTGGGTGAAGATGGTTGGGTGTGAGATCTCTTAGCCCTTGACCATGGACTGGTGGCTGTTTAATATGGGAAAGACAAAGCACTGCAAACTAGAAATCTGCCCCATTTTTTTGAAGTTAGATGAACAACTCTGCCTAGAATATGGATGGGTTCTCTGTTCCCCTTTTCCCTGCCCATTCATGTTTCTAAGCCACTGCCAGGGGACTCCCGCCCCACCTCCAACTGGCAGAAGAACATTAATAGGATGGGTGGGTAATGGTATGAGAGCCCTGGCAGCACACACCAAGAGAACACCAGAAGTCACATTCCTAATCAGTAAGTCAAAATCAGGGCCTGGTAAATGCTGACCATGAAAGAAGCTGTAGAATCCTGACCTGACGTTTCATGACAGCTTCAAAAACCCTCCAATTTCATAGCTGTGAAATATCCCAATGTCATCTCATAACAGAGGAGTGATGCAACTGAAACACAACCTCTCCCTCCCTCTCTCTCTCTCTCTGTCTCTCTCGGAAGACGGAGGCAATGGCCAGCCCACCACTGCCCTTCAGAGATCTGAGGTAACTATGGCAACCTGCAGCAGTCTTTCCGTTTGGGAGGCCCGGGAGTTTCCGAGGTGTTGCTTAGATCGGCCATGTGTCTGGTGAGGGACAGCTGTGAACTTCAAGTGCTGAAGGATGCTCTCTGGGGAGAGAGCAACCTTTTCCTAAAAACGCTGGGTTCCTAATTGCTGGGGAAAAGAATTGGCTGTAGCTACTGAACAGAAACCACACACCTAGCAAACGTGCCCTTCCTGAAGTTGTGGTAGTCAAGGGAAAAAAAAACACTAAGAAAATTGAATCAGCACATTTTAAACATATATAAAGAGAGAGAAGCCCCAGTTTTCTCAAAAGAAGCAATCATTACAATGTCAAGGAAGAGTCTACTTTTGATGTAAAATTCTCCCACGACCCTCCAACGACAGGCTTATTTCAGCTTTGTGAGGAGGTGCAAAATGAATGTGCGTGTGTCTCTATACTTGTACATATATCCACATGTGCATACACGTACTTACACAAACTCCTCACCTTTCTTGCAGTTTCTTGATTTTCTCGGGGTCCACTGGTACCTTAGGGGTCTCATTTGCTCCTGTGAGACCAGAGGCCGCCATGCCAGGTCCATTGTCGTTATGGTTCAGGAAATGAGACACAGCAGACAAAGTCAAATGGATGTTTCCTGGCAGGGCCCCGGGCATCCGCCCGTGACCTTGTGAATTCCTTCTTGATGGAGAGGAGCCGGGAGAATCCAGAGAGGACAAGCTGCCCCGAGAGCTTAGGAGGGCGTTTTCGGGGTACAGCGGCACCCCCCGAGCACCGCGGGTTGGGGTTACATCTTCCGTTTCCCTGCCACCAGGTTCACGTGTATTGCTGACTGAAAGGTAGCTGTGATCTTCTGCAGCGACCATCGGAATTCTGTTTCTAATGGGGGACAGTGGTTGGCGAATGGTCAGCCCCGCGTTTCCCTCCGGATCCGAGCCGTGAGCCGCCGGAGGTGATGCGGCCGAGCCTGCTGCAATGTCACCTCTCAGACGATGCCTTGCTGATCCGGGCGTGTTGTAGGATGAGCTTGGCGATGACCACGGAGCTGTTGGTTCACCAGAGAGAGAGCAGGCCAGAGAAGTTCTAGAACCATCTAGACAGCCTTGCCAATCCCTTTCGTAGTCATGGGTATCAGGTTCATCTTGTGTGGGAACAGAACCACTGGATCCAGTTTCAACCTGGAGGCCGTCCTCGCGTCTGGGGTCGGACATGTTGTCTGGTGAGCTGGAGGCCCTTTTCTCGCCCTCACTGCCAGCACTGCCATTCTCCTCATGGGGCAGCCGGGCATCTCGCAACATCCTTTGTCCAACAGCAGGCTGCTCTGTCTCTGGCTCCATCCCACTGCTTACTCTTGGTGAGCCTGGACCGGGCTCAGGCGGTCTTGAAGAACTATCTTTGCAAGTTGTAGCGTGTTCGAAGTGTTGATTTCCGGCCCAAGAGGCCGATGTGCCGGAAAACCGACTCCTTTTGCTATGCGCAGGAGAGCGAGGTGGGCGCATGCCTAGCAGCAGGCGCTCTTCCTCCGCGTGGGTTTCTTCCTCCGTGTCGTAATGTTCTCTCGCGGTGGTCAGCGATAACGCGGAGTAAAAGTCCTCGTCTCTGAACCTGAAAGGGGTCCTCCGTGGCCCGCCCACGGCCGTGGGGACCCATGAGGGCCCCAGGGACTCGCCCAGCCCCTGAGGACTGCTGGTTGCTTGGCGGGCTTGGGATAGGGCTGGCTGCGGCGTGCTCTGAGGAACAGCGCTCCCGTCTGCCCTTCTGGATCTTTCTGGAAGGTTCTCGGCTGTGGTCACCAGCTGCGAGGCCGAGACCAGGCTTCTCCTCTCTGGAGGTGGCCGCCTCAGCATTGTCTCACCCGCCCACACATGGCTTTCTCGGCGTGCTGCCGGATCTGCACGGAGAGAATACAATTGAATCATTTGCTCAGAAGTGGCATAGTGCATTCAGCCACTGCTTGCAATGGCAGTATCCCATATGGGTGCCGGTTCGTATCCCGGCTGCTCCACTTCCTATCTAGCTCCCTGCTAATGGAAGCAAAAGATAAGCCAAATATTCAGGCTGCCACCATTCATGTGGGAGACCCAGATAAAGCTTTTGACTTTGGCCTGGCCTAGCACTGTTTCTGGCAGCCCTCTGGGGAGTGACCCAGCTGACAAAACATCTCTCTCTCTCTCTCTCATCCTTTGTAACGCTTTCAGCATAAATAAATAAATAAGTAAATAAAGAATTTTTAAGCTGTCTTGGCAGATTGGGAGGAAAGCTCCAGAAGTTAGTGCCTAGCTACACTGAAGCTTTTGGCCAGGCTAACTAGTTAGTATAAATAAAACTTGTTAAGTTGCTCAGGAAGTGCCTTCTGTGTCACTACCTTTAGTCTGTAAGCTCTGCCCGTCCCAGCCTTCCCAACCTCGCTCCCCGCCCCCTTCCCCCTGCCCCGAGTTGCACAGGCATTTCTGTGGGTGAGATCACATATTCGAAATGTGCCTCATAAAAATAATGAATGGGCGCTGCTTACTGCGGGCTGACGCCGAGCAGGCCACAACCACGCCAGCTGCATCCCTCGCGCAGCGGAGGCCCGCAAAATCCCGCTCCCCCCCCCCCACACCCACCCAGGCCACATTATAATCAAAGGATCCGGGGCCCGGGGAGGTCACATCACTTGCCCCAGATCATATTTCCAGTAAGTGATGAACATTTGAACCCCGGCCCTCTGGATGTTAGGGTTTGTGTCCTTACCCACTGGCCTGGCTACCCCTTAGGAAATGGGTTGGATTGCCAGTTTCCATGGGGAACCGAAGATCTGTGGGGTTTGTTGTGGTGTGTGCGTGTGTGTGTGTGTGTGTGTGTGCACCTCCCTGGCCACTACCGTCCCCTGTGTGGTCCCCTCCCTTCATCTCCAGGACTCCTCTAGGGAGCAATCCCTGGGGCCTGCTGCCCAGCTCGGGTCAGAGTTGACAGGGAGGCGTGTCCAGCGGTGCACGCATTGGAGCCGCCAACACTTTCCGACTCTGTAAGTTTCTTGGATTGTTAACTACATGGGGCACTGAGCAGCACGGCGTGGTGGGCCTTCTCTCATCAGCTCTCCTAGGAACCAGGCAAACTCTCCATTCAGGCCCCTCATTGGTTCCCAAAAGATGTGTCAGTAGCTCAGGGGTGCTCTGAGCATCCGCTGTCTGTCCAGCAGGCAGATCCATGTGTGGGGAACAAATGGTTCCATGCAACCTTCTGAATTTGCCTGCTATGTTTGTGCGTTCACACATCCATGTGTATATTTTTAAATTAAAATGCAATATGAAGAAATGTCAGCTCTGGTAGATTGCTTTTCTCTTTGGTTGTGACTGAGGGCCTCAGCAGGCAGCTAGCAGCAGGGCTGGGGCCTGCGTCTCAACACAGGCCACTCACTGCAGCCCAGGCAACTGCTCCCTTTGGCCCTGGATCCATTTAGCTTCAGGTGAAGACCAGATAAGGCAGGGACACCTTTAGGGACTGAAAACCCAGCCAGCGTGGCCTCTGAAACATCATTAGAACTGAATGGGAGCCGTGAGCTCGTCTCACAGAAGCCAGTGAGCTGGTACAGGGCGACAGTGGCCTCAGAGGACAGGAGAAGTCCCCTACTGTGCGTGGTTGTTCAGCCCTTGTGGATTTGCTGCCTTGCTGCCACATCAGGGAGTGAGCCTTCCTCTTTAAAATCCCAGCAGGGCTTGTCTGGGGTGTGTCTGTGTGTGCGTGTGTCTGAGTGCTTCCCTAAAGGTGGCCGGCTGTGCCTTTCTATATTTGTGCTGTGTTCACCCTATTTTTTGTGTGTGTCTGTCCAATAGGGAGCAGGCTTCGGGAGCTCCAGGGCTGGGAAGCAGCACAGTGAGGATGCCACGGATGTGCTATTCATAGAGCCGTCCCCTTCTCCCCTTCAACCCTCCCTCCCTCCCTCCCCCAGACACTGCGGTGCTTCTCCAGGGCCTGCTGGCCTTCGGCTCCAACTGCAGGCCCGGGCGCAGCCAGTCAGCCCACCCTTCTGCCATGTCTCTGGTCTGGACTGCTGTGCGTGATTGACCCATGGATTCCTACATTCTAGGAGTCAGACTTTTAACTTGTCCTCTTGGTTAGCAGAGAGATTGTTGGGGATTGCTGAGAAACTATAGAAGAGCCAAGACTTTGAGTCTTCAAATCTCCCCACAGCCCGGGTGTCAGGGGAGCGCTGCGGCTGCTCTTCAGGTGAGCCACGCAGATCCCTGGGGTATCTGCACCCTGCCGTCATACTCTGCAGAGGTGGGCCGTATCTCCCACTGACTCCTCTAGCCCCAGTGATGGGCCGCACCTGCCTTACCCACCTGCTCCCTCAAGGCATTTGAAATTCCAACTCAGGGCTCTCCCATCTAGAGACTTCAGAAACCAAACTGCAACTAGCTAATCCTCGCCTTTGCAAACGTTGGCATCCCTTATGTGTGCCTGCTTGTGTCCTGGCTGCTCCACTTCCATCCCCTGCCTGTGGCCTGGGAAAGCAGTGGAGGACGGCCCAGCGCCTTGGGCCCCAGTGGGATAGCTAGAGGAGGCTCCTGGCTTCTGATGGACTCAGCTTTGCTTGTTTTGCCGCCACTTGGGAAGTGAAACAACGGATGGAACTTCTCTCCGTAAATCTGCCTTTCAAATGAAAACAAATAAATCTTAGAAAACAAAAATAAAACAGAATCGGGCATCTCTGCACGTACAACTTAGTGCCCTGTGCTCTAAGAGAGCAGTGCCCGTGCTGTGATTGTTTATGAACAGGCACGGGAAATCCTGTGAAGATGATCAAATGCGTTTAACTCTTCCTCTGTGGTTTGGTACCTCGGCTGCCTTGCATTTTAGCCCGTGATAAACACCCTTGCTTTTCCATCACAGCTTTACCTCCTTGCCTCCTTAGAATAGTCACAGAGTGGAATTGCTAAGCCAAAAGGTGTGGACTTCAAAGCTTTGGCCATCTCCTGCCATGTTCCTTTCCGATCTGCACCAAATCACCAGGGCCGGTAGGCTATAGAAGTGACTGTCACATAAGGGTCTCACCAACGAGCTTTGTCATTGGTGTTGGACACCGCAGTGCCCAGGAAATGCTTGCTGTTAACCTCACTCCCAGGCTCCTGCCCTCGCCAATCTGATAGGTCACACTTAACCGCGGTGAGTTTACGTTATCACCCAAAGTGAACTTAATAAATGCTTACGTGCCACCTTTAAAGATTCACTTATTTTTATTGGAAAGTTAGATACACAGAGAGGAGGAGAGACAGAGAGGAAGATCTTCTGTCTGATGATTCACTCCCAAGTGGCTGCAACAGTTGGAGCTGAACCAATCCGAAACCAGGAGCCAGGAGCTTTCTCCAGGTCTCCCACATGGGTGCAGGGTCCCAAGACTTTGGGCCGTCCTCGACTGCCTTCCCAGGCCACAAGCAGGGAGTTAGACAGGAAGCAGGGTCACTGGGACATGAACTGGCACCTATATGGGATCCTGGCGTGTGCAAGGTGAGGACTTTAGCCGCTAGGCTACCGTGCTGGGCCCTGTACTCACATTTCTTTTGTGAAGTTGTCTGTTGTGACCCTTGTCCATTTTTCTATTAGGTGTTCAGGTTTTGGTTATTGATTTGCAATAGCATTCTGAACATCATCCCTCGCTGATGCTTCTTTAACTCTCTGACCCCTACACTGGTTTACGCAAACCACTTTAGAATGTGAGGCCGGAGAGGAACACTTGTGGGGAGATCAGGAGCCTGCTCTCAGCGGCTAGCTGCATTATCGAGGGTTGCATGCGACCCTTGCAACAGTGCGCCGAGGTCGATTTCAACATCCTCGTTTTAGGATGTGAACTGTAGTCAAGAGTGGCTCCTGGATCATCCAAGACACCATGGTTGGGAGGGAGAGCTAGACCTGATGTTTCAGGCGTTCTGTTACGGGGACCTCGTGTGCACCTTGTGGCTTCAGGGTCACATGTGCCTTAGTCACCCCTGCTCCCCAGGCCATCCCATGTCTGCCAAGGCCTGCCGTGTGTGTATCTGTGTGCCATGGCACATGTCGCACTTAGATGTGGAGGCTGCCATGCTCATCTGGCAGCACCTGGCAATGCGTGCAGGCTTCTCTAGAGGAGCAGATGCAAGGTGAGGTTGGCAGGGCATGTCACTTTTCTGGACTCCTGGAGGGGTTAGTCCAGCCACCTGGCTTATGTCGAAGGACAGATGCTCAGAGCTGAAACTCAGATGGGAAAGGTGTCTGCTGGGCCAGGGCTTCGGGGTAGGATTTGTGTGTGCTATGCTATTACTCCCAACACATGCATATCTTACCAGTGTGATTGCTCTGAGTCCACGGACACCTGGCCTCCCCAACCCCCTTCATCTGCAGGCACCTGGAGGAGGTGAGACCAGAGCAGCAGGCTGCTTCTCTTCTCCCCAAGCCCATGACACCGCCCCTAGAAGAGATGCTGTCTGCGGGAGACACACAGCTGGTGACCCCACAGCACTATGCCTGTCCTGCTCATGGGCTGGTGGGGGACAGAAATAAAATCTGACCTCTCTCCTCATTCCCTTTAACTATCAGTTTATCTGGGGGAAAATAAAACCCTGCATCGCATAGTTGGTTTTTAAAACTGAGTGTTTCATGGCAAGAGGCAAGCCCTTTCACATCAAAGCACAGGTGTTTAAAGCCCATAACGAAACAGCATCAGGGAGTCCTCTCTGAGGACCAGGGAGTGGAGGCTGCTGGTCCTTACCTGGTCCCAGGAGAACAGGTGCCTTCCCTGGCAGCTGGGCCTTCTGTCTGCTTCTGTCCCCTGGTGCTCTTGGGCTGTGCAGTTCTGGACTGACTGCCAATCTCCCCAGGTTTGGCCTCCTCTTTCTTGGTAAAATCTTTGGTGTCTGTGCTGCTGGAAGGTGCAAAATCTTTTCAATCCTTGATTTGGACAGGAAAGCATCTTCCGTGTTTAAAGAATGCTCAAGGGGCCCAACAACAGGGCTCGGGGTGGGGGCGGGAGGCAGCATGGGGTGGGATGGGGAGTGCAGTTCAGGGGATGGACCCAGGAAGTCAGAGAAGAGCTGGCTGTGAAACCAAGTTTCTCTCCCTGTAGCTGTGGGAGCTCAGGCAAGCCACTTCACCCCAACAGCCTCGGCTTCCCCACGCGGCATGTGGAACTCAGGCCCATGGATGTGGCTGTCAAACCTTTCACTAAGCATCTACGGCATCTGAAGTGAAAGCACATGGGGCAGCCAGCTTTATGCTCTGGTCCTGTCCAAGTTCCTGGCGAGGGGGGAGGGACTCCCAGGAAGGCAGTGGCTTGAATTCTTGTAAGCATTTTGAGTTACGTGGGACTAGTTGGTATGATCACACTAAGCCTCTTTTTCAGGCCTATTTAGCTTCGGTGCACGTGGAGTTGGGAGGAGCGGTGCTATTTTCCATGCCTACGGGGCTCTGGGTTCACTAGACAATAGTTGACTCTTTAAATTCCCTAAGACAATCAGATCCGCCTGGCCCATCCCCTTTATGACAGTTCAGAAATTTCACAAGTCGGTGTAGCTGACAGGTAACCTCAGTATAGAGCTGAAAAGAGCCTCTGGCTTGTGTCGGAGGCACAGCCATAGTCAGACAGGTGCATAAGGTCACTTAGGGCTCCAGAGCTGTGGTTTGTAAATAGTCTGTCCAGATGCCACAAAGAAAAGAAAAATTGTCCTTCAGACTCTGTTTATTGCTATGATTGGGTTTATTTCTCTTGGTAGTCCCTGGAGGGGAAGGCAGAGGGTTTGGGGATCCAAGATGGACAGGACCATGCTTTCCCTCTCAGGCAACTATCTAGATGAGGGGTGTGTGTTGGGGCTGCTGGTGGCATCAGATCCCCTTGGGCCAAGTTGGCGAAGCTCAGGGAGTTTGTGGGTGTGATGTGTGGAGGAAGGAAGAGGGTGGGAGAGCATGGGTGTGGATTTCAGTGAGTTGGAGGGGAGTGAGAGGAGGAGGGACCGGGGAAGGGGGAGGCAGGAAGGAGATGGCCAGCTGTTCACTTTCCCGGGACGGAGCTGCCCTGGCAGAGAGGCGTGGGAATGTTTTCTCAGCATCCAGGTTACATTCAGTCACCTTCACATAAGGCCAGGGTGCTTCCCTGCCCCCCTCAGAAGTCAGCAAAGCACCCAACTTCTTCCCCTGACTGACCAAACAGAGGGAGTACCAAGGAAGGGGCAGTTTGGAACTTAAGACAAGTTCAGTCAGTCAGGACCTGAGCCTGGGGCTTGGTTCCTAGCAGGATGGCCAGCAGGATGTTCGGGCCCCACCCACACCCCAGGTGGAAGTTCCCCACCCCTCCATCCGCACCCTTGTTGGGTGGTGACCTTGACTCCCAAAAGCCCGCACCAGCCAGTAGGTCCTTTAAGGCCTGTTTCTGGTTTTATGTCCAGCAAGTCTGCTCTGATTCTGCTTTGTCCAAAACTTCCCCCTCTCCCCAATTGTGTTTGGCACATAAATACCTTGTGGCCTAGAACTGCTTAAGGTGTCTGCTTAAGGCAGACTATAACACGATGGCTCAATTGGCTGATCCTCTGCCTTTGAGCGCCAGGGATCCCATATGGGTACCAGTTCCTATCCCAGCTGCTCCACTTCTCCCCATCCAGTTCCTTGTTTATGGCCTGGGAAAACAATGGAGAATGACCCAAAGCCTTGGGCCCCTACACCCACGTGGGAGATGTGGAGGAAGCTCCTGGCTTCAGGTTGGCTCAGCACCAGCCATTGTGGCCCTTTGGGGAATGAACCAACAGATGGCAGATCTTTTTCTTTGCCTCTCTTTTTTCTCTGTAAGACTGATTTTTCTTTCCAATAAGAACAAAATAAATAAACCTTAATAAATAGGGGAAAAAAGACGATGCCGAGCTCTTAGCCAGGCGATATTAACACGTGTGTGTAATCCTGCAGGACACACAACTGCTGCTTGTATTCAGTCAGAACTACAGGGAACTTCAAAAGTAGAATAAAGGCTTTCATTGTGCAGAACACCCTAGATGACTTAAGATAAAAAGATGTTATTTTTTTTTTCTCAGGCCAAAAATCACTTTCTTCAAAGCATCGGTTCTCTTAGACAATTTCGGAGGCCGTGATCACACCTCTTCTAACCAAGTTCTTGGCCGGGTGATGAGGCCGAGCAGCTGGAGGTTGTTACACCTGGTGTGGCAGTGGCTAAATCACCATTCGGGTAGACCTCCGACGGTTTGAACCTCATTTTCCGTGACTGTGAGATAGGAAGAATCCTACTTTGTTGAGTTACTGTAAAGCGTAGCAATAATACACACAAATGGCCTAACTCGGTGACTGGTGCGTATCGGACGCTAATAACCGCAGCTTCTGCTTCTACCGTAAAGAGTAATAACAGCAATATTGCTACTCGTGGGAAAGATGAAATCACTCCCCCAGGAAAGCTGCATCTTGCCAGGAACTCATTGTTGGGAAGGTTTTAAAGACCAGTGCAGCTTTCCAGCAGGCTTCAGGTCTGTGTGGTTCTTGCTGACTCTTCCTCTTGATCCTTTATTCAGAAAACCCAAGTAACAAGAGCAACTCTTTAAAAAAAAAAATCATAATTTGCTTAGCAAATGTCTGTGTCATTTTGCTATGCAATAATTTGAGGGTTTACCGAGATGGGTAAGACATGTTGGTCATGACCTTGAAGATGAGCGTCTATTTTGGTTGCACTACTGTTGACTTCCTTGTGACACCCTTGAGAAGCTTTGGAAAAAGGATGGGCCATTTTATGAGAAAGATTCTTCCCTGTCTGCAGTCATGGCTACACTTGAGGTGGAGGAGGTGGCAAAGCATGTGTGTGCATGGATTTAAGAGTTGTCCAGCTGTGCGCTGGGATATGCGTATCCCATACCAGGGTTTAAATTCTGACTCTGTCCTCCATCCCAGCTTCCTGCCAAGACAGTAGATGATAATAATAACTCAGTGGTTGGGTCTCCCCACCCTCTTGGGAGACCTGAATGTAGTTGCTTGCTCCTGGCTTTAGCCTGGCCCTGGGCTGTGGCACGTACTGGAGAGTGAACCAATGAATGGAGCACTCCCCCTCCCCTACCCTGCCTTCCCAAATAAATGAAATAAACAGTAAAGTGATTCAAACACTCAGCATCCACAGCCAGCCAGCTCCTAATCACTTCATCTGCATGCAAGGTGAGTCAACTTTCGTATTTCTGGGGCCCTTCTGGGGTGGGCCCTCGCCACGATGTGGTACATGAATACATCCATCTGCAGGAAGACGTAACTTCCTCTTCAGGTAGGACAGGGAAGGGGAGTGTTTTCCCAGAAAAGGGAAGAGTTTGCATCAGGGAGCTGTCACCCCGTGTCTTGATGCCCTATTTGTCATGAGTTGGGGCAAAAACTGTGCTTGGTTCTTGATGTCCTATAGCCCATTCCTTCTACTGTTTGAGCAAGAAGGTGCCTCCAGCAGCAAGGAAACCACCCAGAGTACTTGCGTCCAAGGCATCCGCCGGGGATCCCAAGGAATGCCAAGACTCCGTCAGTAATGTTAGTTTGATCAGGAGAGGAAAACAGGTGAAAACCTCATGTTTATACACGATCCTTACAACGGAGCATCAAGTCCAGTTAGCTGTCCATGTTAGTTCCTTGTTCAGTTCCACATACCACTTGCCACAATACAATCTTAACACAAAATCAAAACAGAGAAATAAGAAAATATAGTGATTCCTCCTCCCTCATAAACTGCCTGAGCTACAATCCATCAGAGAGGCGGTTCTTTAAAAAGATGGCTCCCCCGGTCAGTGTGACCAGTAGCCCAATCCTCCACCTGGTGGTGCCAACATCCTATGTGGATTCCGGTTCAAATCCTGGAGGCTTTACTTCCCATCTAGCTCCCTGCTAGTGGCCTGGGAAAGCAGCAACAGATGGTTTAAATCCTTGGACTCCTGCACCCACATGGAAGACCTAGAGGAAGCCGTTGGCTCCCGGTGTCAGACCAACTGAGCTCTGGCCATTGCGGCCATTTGGGGAGTGAACCAGCAAATGGAAGATCTCTTCTACTTTGTCTGCTTCTCACCGTTAAATCTGCCTTTAAATTAAACCTTTTTTTTTTTTTGAAAAAGGAAAGAAAAGATGGCTCTCTTGGGACCCTGAGGAGCATTACACTATAGCTCAGTGCCCAGGGCCTGCAACTGTTGCCTTGGTTGGGCTAACAGGTGGCTCCTCTGTGAAGTCACAAATGATAACCACCTCTAGTGGCCTTCTTGAGTGTGCCAAAAATGTTGTCTCCTGTACCCGGGCAGGTCTTAACGAAAGCTTCATTATATTCCATAAATACATTTTATTTTGGAACTCAGGAAGTGGGATTTTTCAGATTAGGAAATGTAATGCCTGGTAAGTAGGCAGGAGAGAGAATTTAAGCATTGACTGAGCCCTGGGCCTCAGCCTGTCTCAGCCTGGCTCTCAGTGGATTCTGTCCCGCTGCCTTCATATCACCTGCTCTTCCAGGCTGCCCTCTCCCTCTGCACCTGGCCAGAGCCTGGGCTTGTCTTCATATCACCAAGGATTCATGACCCCAGGTGTGGAGGGGCCTGTTTGGTTTCTGATGCTGATGTTTCAGAGTGTACCAGGCACAGGATGTTAAGAAAGCAAATTGAGTCTCCAGAGGCAATGGGATTTTATTGGTCGTTTTCTGTTTTCACGAGAAGGCTGAGCCCGGGGGAGGTGGCAGCGCGGTCCTGTCTTCCTGCTCCCCGCACACACCACTTTCTGGTACCATCCATGGCAGCATTGCCTTCTGCCCCTCTCCTGTCCACCTGCCTTCTGGTAGCCTCTCCCTGTCCCCACTGTGCTGTGCCCTTGGCCAGGGCGACTTACCATACCAGGTAAATTTTACTGGGCCTTCTGGGGCCGGGTAGGCAC